TCCATGGTGACTGTTTTAAGTTCCCCTTTATTTCCATCCAGCATATAATTATATCCTAAAAATAACTGTGACTCACTGCTACAATCTTAATGTTTTTTCTATTGAAACTTGGATTATTCCTATCTGATGGGTAGCTTGCAGCAAACTTGTTGTAATATTCTCAATCAAATTTTAAAACAAACATCATTTGAATATTTTTAATAACTATAATACACTTTATAATACAATAAGTCAACATCTGTAAGTTATTATATATTATTGTCCATAGTTGTAGGAGAAACTACAATTTATATCAAGTTTATGGAAATAACCGAAAGTAATACAGCGGTCTGGTTACCACAGCACAGGCTCTGTGTGATGTATTATTATTTTTATAATAAACAAGCAATCATGGCCTCTAATATTTATTTAATAGTGTTGCTCTAGTAATATTTTTGAAATTAGATAATAAGTGATCATTAATTCTACTAGGATAACTGATGCTAGGACTCCTAGTTCTGACTCTAACAATAACTTTAGTCATCATAACCTTCATAATACAGAGATGCATTATTAATTATGCATATGTATAATAAAATTAAGAAACTATATGATACAAATGTTGATAGTCTATATTTTAGCTAGGTTTTTATGATGGTACAACATATAGGTAGATCAATATTTCTTTACAAAAATCATTAACAACACCAAATTAGATCAATCACCAATTATTAATGTAGAATGTATTTATGCAAAGGAACACTAAACCTGTGATTTTTCTGTAGTATTTTTAATTCAGTCTACCCCCATATGCCAACTGCAACAGCCTTAATATCTTAGTTCTATAATCTAAATAAAATATTAATCTATAAAATATGGCCTATATTTTACACATTAATTTACATTTATTATATATTAATACACATTAATTCTCTACACTAAAGATATTTTTTATGACACCCTGTATTCGGCACTTGTTCTGCAATTTTGTCTGAATAGATTAATAGGAATTGTTCTGCATGTTTGTATCTGAATTGTATGATTTAAGTTTATACTGTAAGGTAGGACTTAGGTTTCTTTTTATCGCTAACAACAGAGGGTGGTGAAATAAGAGGTAAGAATATATAGGGAGACCAAGTCAACTTAAGTTTTTGGTGAAAGGATATACCTAATCTTAGAAAAGACTCAAGAAAAGTCTACTTGTAGCACATAAATAAAAAACACTAAACCTGTGATTTTTCTGTAGTATTTTTAATCCAGTCTACCCCCATATGCCAACTGCAACAGCCTTAATATCTTACCTCTATAATCTAAATGAAATATTAATCTGCAAAATTTAGGCCCTCTATAACCTCCTGGATGTCTAGGATAATTTTAATCCAATCTACCCCATATGTCAATTCCAAGTCAGGTCTTAATAACTTCTCTCTATAGTCTCTAAAATCTAAATAAAATATAAATCTATAAAAATATAAGACTTCTATGATCTCCTGGATGTCCTGGATGATCCTGCTCCTGTAATAGTCCACTACTGGACATGGGCCTCTCCTTGGAAAGGAAGTTTTGGCCTACTATACTACACTGGCCAGATGTGTTGTAATATTTGATACTCTTTACAATGCAACATTGTGGCTTAGCATAATTATTTCATGTTTCACAATGTTTTTACAGTGTCCATGTCATCAGAATTCTAAATGAATGGCCTTTTCACCCTCTTTGACGTCAATATCAAAGTGACTCCATGCAAATTTTATAAATTTTGTTTTGTTAATATTGCCAAGGTGGTTTTCAAAAATATTTTAACAAATTTTTTTACAAAATGTTTTATGTAATAAAGCTAAAGATGTTTTTTCTTGGATTGTTTGCTTGTTTCAAAATGCTTGATTGACAAGATCTTCAAATTGAATACAAAATCTCAGATTCAAAAAGTTATGTTTCAATTAGACAGAGTATTCATTAAGGAAGGTCACAGGCTATGTTACAAATTGCTAAGAAATCAGAGAGCAGAAGAGTGACCAAAACATGGATCAAACTGTGGTGAACAGATAATCATTTATACATATTTGTTGTTATACTTTTTTACAAAGGATGTCACACATACAAATCTATATAGCAGACAGTACAATGGAAGACCTTCATGAAGAGCATGTTACTTTACAAAAATGCAATAACATAACAACTGACCTCTTAAAGTTATGAATAAGTTCTGTTTTTTTTTGATTTGTTTTTTTTTTTTTGAACTACCCATTAGTTAAGTAAAAATGTGCAATTTCACTTTTAGAAACCTAGAAATGGACTATGGACATTAAATTTATACAAACTAAATTCTAGAATGAGTACTTCATGATCATATTTAACTAAATTGCTCACCACTGAAAATATCATCTGAATACTATAATAATGATTAAAACAATTATACACATACAATTGACTTATTTCTTTCTTTTTTTATTTATTTATTCTATATTTAATATTTTAAGCATGTAACAAGATTTAATACAATTAAGTAAACACAAAAAAATTTAAACTTCTTTATTTCTTTGTAGGTAGTAACAAAATGTAAAAAAAAAATTAATAGGAGAGTAACTACAAATCAAACAATAGTAGTATTAGTAATTTATAGAGAAATTTGTTTATGAAACTATACATTATATTGCATGTAACATGATTATTTACAATTGTAACTACCTTGTGGGTAATAAAAAAATTTTTTTTGTTTAAAATGAAAGTAACTACAAATCAGGTTTTAAACGATAGTGGTAATAGTAATTCGCAGAGATATTTGTTTATGAAATTATAACAGTAATGAGCTATATCATTTAATATTTTTAACATTTACGGTAGTTATCTATAACACAAATGAACTTACCTGATTCTCTCGAGGACTCCATCCTGGGCTGTTATTTAACTATCGTCTACGGGGTACCACTTTCATAGAATAGTTCAGTGGCTAACGATGAACCTGTCAGTAACAAGGTCGTTGAACTAAATATACCTATAACAAGATGAAATTACACACCCCTTTACTGTACATGAATGGCTGCGTAAATGTCATGAAACACAATTTTCTTCTTTAGTAAAATATTGTTTAAACAGCACTCTATAGTTCTATTTCTTTAAAGGAGTTCACCAATAACCCAATTTCAATTAATAATTCTTGAGTGACATAAAACAACGCGTCACGTCACAGTCGTTAATCGTTCAGAAAACCATAGTTAGATTTGATTGCGTGCTGAAATACAATAAAATTAAAATAATAAATATTTTTACCGTTATTTATATCTTTTTAGTTTGTGTGTTAGAAAGAGCTAAATCAGGGTAGTAAAAAGCAAGTACTATGAAATAATATGACCTATTGATTGAGGAAGGTCATACCACATTACGCTGTGACTTGGGCGAGCACAGCAGTGACCATAAATTGTGATGCTGCAAGTCACGTTTTGTGGCTTATCGGTGGATCCCAAAGTTCACCAAAAAATTTACTTAAAGTTTCCTAATCCTCACTCAACCTTTGCTTACATTGTGGAAATGGTAACCATTAACAGTAAAACCTGCTTAGGACGATTTTAAAAGGACCTAGCAAAAAAGCAAGAATAATATTCTATACTAATTGTGTGAAGAAGAGCAAAGTATTATTTAATTTACAAACTAAAGTTATATAATCTATTCAAAATAAAAGTAATCTTTGTTAGGACTACCTAATAGGTATTAATTGTAGACTAATCTAGATAGGCAGAGGCGGATTAAGTATCTAGAGCGCCCAAGGCAAAACTCTCTATCGCTCATACCAAATTTATTTTATTTACTAGTTGAAGTAACTAAATGTGTGATAGTGATAAATCCAAATAGTTGGCATTTTTTACTACAACTTCCTTATTTTACTATTTTACGTGTGTGGCTGTCAACCGGTGGTGGTCACCGGGCGGTGTATCTGAATCGAGCCGACTAAAACCACATGGTGTGTAAACTGCGATGGAAAGAAGAGGGATCCCATAACCCTTTCTTTTGGTGACTATCACTCGCAGGCCTGCAGTTATGTAGGACGAAGTTCTTTCAGCGACCCCCCCGGGCCTGGCGGACCAAGAGAGTTTTTAGTCTCTACAGGTGCCGCTCCGCCCTCTTCTCGAGCAAAAATAGCTTGCAGCAGGCGGTGGCGGCTATCCGGGTCACTTCTTTAGTCGATGAGTAGTCACTAGATAGATTAGTCTATCCACCTTCTTACTTGGTATGCAATTCTCAATTGGTCAAAAAATCCGTACACGAGTACAACTTGCTTGCATATCAGCTATAAAAGGAGTGTCATGGAAAATGCCGTATATTTCCACAACCCAGATCTGCTTGGCCGACTAATCGCCTAGTCGTCTAGTCGACCAAATTCAAGGTCGGTACATCTCTAAAACTCTTAATAAGATTAAACTAAGCTTATTTTAATTTAGGACTTATTTTTTTTATTCTACGGCAGACCAATTTTATAAAAATATCATTTCTAGTTATAATCTGTCTGAATATGGACTGGATTTCATATGACAATGCAGTTCTTATGTCAGTCGATCCCATAATCAAAAATAATTTTAACATATTTTTTACAAATAAAAAGAACAGTATGTTTCTAAAAATACTTTTTTCTAAATTAAATGGTACAACGGAACGCTTTCCCTATTGTTCATGTTCAATGTCATGTCTAGGTCAGTTCTCGCACGTATATAAACTTTAGGTTTTAATTATAACACCTTATTGGCCCATAGACTGGCATTTTCCTGGATTAGCCAATAAAACATAAAGATTTTAGTTTGACCTTGTGTTCTAGACTGAAATACAGTATAAATACTAACACTGACATAAATGAAAGTTTATTTCATTAGCTTTGTTTGCCGGTGTCGATGTTTAATCTCATATCGTGTATAAAGTCTGTGTAACATATCTGTAATTAAATTGTATTGAGTGTTCTCCATATATCTACATAAAACGCAACTTATTTTCAAACGAAGTGTAATACTTTGAAGAGGCACACAATTCGAAAGATGGAAAACAAAACAGACTTTCAGTATCCTCATACTTTTGTACTCCTCGGAGCTTCAGGAGATCTTGCAAAGAAAAAGATTTACCCAACTATCTGGTATTTATTTCGTGATAATCTTTTACCTCGTCATACCAAATTTGTTGGTTATGCTCGTACTAAACAAACAATGGCAGAAGTAAAAGAGAAATGTAAAAAATATATAAAAGTGCGCCCTGGGGAGGAAGACAAATTGGAAGAATTTTGGCAAGCTAATGAGTATTTCGCTGGCTCTTATGATAAAAGAATAGACTATGAGATGCTCAACCAGCTAATACACAAGCATGAGAAAGGTCCTGTGGCTAATAGAATATTTTATTTAGCAGTGCCACCCACCTTGTTTGAAGATGTAACTGTCAACATCAGAAATGCATGTGTTTCCCTAAAGGGCTTCACAAGAGTTATCATTGAGAAACCATTTGGCAGAGACGATGTCACTTCTGACAAACTAAGCAATCACTTAGCGGGGCTATTTAAAGAAGAGCAAATATACAGGATTGACCATTACCTTGGGAAAGAGATGGTTCAAAACTTAATGACATTAAGATTTGCAAATCAAATATTCAACCCCTCTTGGAACAGGGAAAATATTGCATCTGTACTCATTTCATTTAAGGAACCATTTGGTACAGAGGGACGTGGAGGCTACTTTGATGATTTTGGTATTATCCGTGATGTAATGCAAAATCACCTTCTTCAAATCCTTTCTCTTGTTGCTATGGAGAAACCGGTCACTTTAAATCCAAATGATATCAGAGATGAAAAAGTAAAGGTTCTTAGGCATATACAACCAATTAATCTAAATGATATTTTGGTGGGACAATATATAGGCAATCCTGATGGTCAAGGTGAAGAGACATCAGGCTATCTTCAGGATCCAACTGTACCTAATGATTCTGTAACAGCTACTTATGCTCTTGCTGCACTATGGATCAACAATGCTAGATGGCAAGGTGTTCCTTTCATTCTTCGGTGTGGTAAAGCTCTGAATGAAAGGAAAGCAGAAGTCAGGATTCAATATAAAGATGTTCCTGGTGATATCTTTGATAGTAACGCTAAAAGAAATGAGCTTGTAATTCGAGTCCAACCTGGTGAAGCTTTATATTTAAAATTAATGAGTAAATCACCTGGCATGAAATTTGATTTAGTAGAGACTGAACTAGATCTTACATATAGTCTGCGTTATAGAGAGGCAGATGTCCCTGATGCATATGAAAGACTCATCCTAGATGTTTTTACGGGTACACAAATGCATTTTGTACGCAATGATGAACTAAAGGAAGCATGGCGTATATTCACACCGATTTTAAAGGAACTAGAAGAAAAACATATTAAGCCTGTGCCATATGTTTATGGATCACGCGGCCCTCTTGAAGCTGATAGTAAGCTTGCAGAGTATGACTTCAAATACTCAGGTTCTTATAAGTGGAAGAAACCTACACTTTCTTAAATGCATTTCCTATGTTCAGTTAAAAGTTTTGGTGGTGGTGTTTTTTTACTGATTAGGCCATAAAATGGAATTTATATTGTTTATATTGGTATTGTAGATTATAAATAAGCTTCATTCCAATTTATATCACATTAATAAAAGCAATTTAAATTTATTATCAATGAAAAATAAACTTTATGTTAAATGCATAATACCTGTAGTTGAATGGTTGTGTATGTGCTTTATCTATATTTATAAATGTAAATGCTCACAATTTGATGCATAAGACATTGATAATGCTGTGATAATAAGCTAAATTTCATGCAAGATTTTTGATAAAAGAATTATATAATGTTAGAGGTTAATTTATATCGCTTTGACATTTGTACTTTATCATTCCTGTAAGATATTACAAAAATTGTATGTAAGAGAAACTACTATTTAATTAGCTTAATATATTATATTTGTCTAAATTTATAATTCATATAAGTACAAGCTCTCATGTAAAGGTTTGCATGAATTGTGACTTATTATCAGATCACAAACAATATAAAAGTGTGAACTTGGAATTGCCAGGTGTTCAGTCTAGGCAGTCAGGCTGTATTAAAATACATCCTGACTGTAATGGCAAAATCAAGCACAACTATATGGCTAATGCACAACTATTGATAAAGTATATAACAGATAAGTATACAGAGTATACAATTAAAAATAGAATCTATTTTTGTAAGGATAATTTGACATGATATTAATTGATAAACAATACTACATTAACTTATTCTCAAACCTACTGTGTAATTGAGTCCTAAAGTCAAAGACAATGGGTTTTTATTTACCTGTTAGTGTTACCTTATTTTTACCATCTAAATTGATATTGTGGTGGAAACTAAATGTTTCGATGATCTTTATAAAAGATTGCTTTAATAATAATTATTTTATATACTTTGATATTTTATTACACATTTTTAAGGTTTATTATTTAATTCTAAATAAAGTGAAGGTAATTGCATTTTTGTGAAATCTTCAGTTACTATTTTATAATTTTTTACTTTTATAAGATGCTTGTACTGGTTGTCTTTATCGAAATCCCTTATCCCATTTGGACACTATATGATACAGATATGTATCATATTTTCTAGCAAACTAGGTACAGTTTTTGGAAACAATACATAGATGTAAGGTCTACAAAAATTTTATGATCCTTAATATGACTAAGTGGAAAGACCTATCATATACAAATAGAATAAATGCAATAATTTGCTATTTCTAAAACAGTCGTTACTTTGCAGTCCTGTAACATTTAAATTTATTTGTTTTGTGGTCATTGCGCCATTTGTGAATCAAATTTAATTTTGAATATATTGATAAGGTTTCATTTAATCAGGCCTTTGAACTAAATTGTTTTCTGAAACAGTTTGTTGAACAGAAACATTCTGATACTTGGTAACATTATCTATACCTACTAATATTATAAAGCTGAGGAGTTGGTTCGAATTTGAAAAATACTTTTAGTGTTGGATAGCCAATTTATCGAGGAAGGCTATATATAGGCTATAATTATAATATCACGCTGCGGCCAATGGGAGCTAAACATCCATGAAAAAATTAGCAAAAACGGGGCAAATTTATTTCTTTTGAGAGATGCAGACAAAGTGGCGCGGGTCAGCTAGTTTAACATAAAATTATAAATAACGATACAATAAAATTACCTGTAATGAGTAAGTATTAATAGAGAATCATTAGTTGAGGAAATAGTTATTATGTTCAATAGTTTTCCTAGCCCACTTAGGGCTTGTTTGTATAATATTAAATACATTTTATTTCCATATTTTACCAATGTAAATGTATGTATATGATTGGCGTGTACTCAAAGCGAAAGCCACGCAGCGGTCGCGTGAAGGGCGCGCGGCCGCCGCGTGGAGGACGGGCTACCACCGTGTGGGGTGTCGCATAGGTGTTTTGACAAATCAGCTGCTATAGTAAAATCTTGCATGTTCTTTCTTGAAAATCACACTAATGTTCTTTATGCGTCATTTTACTTAAAAGAAAAATTTGAGCAAACACGAGAAACACGTCGTTTGTTGCCTGCGTACGCGCCGTGCGAGCGCCTACCTCACCGCGCGTATGGATGCTCGTCTCAAGCTTTCGCGGCAGACAGCGCTGTTCATACTATTTTTCAAAAGACCAGGAGCGGATCTACCTAAGGGCTTTTTATACTGCAGCCCAGAGCCCCTTTGTAGCCTAAGGCTTAAAATGCACAATCGCAGTGTAGCGTGTGCGTTTCGATTGATCCGCTACGTTATCGAAACAAGAAAACACTTTGCCAACAATTTGTTGAAATTTGTCGGGAACAACCAAAGATTGCGCAATTGCCCTGTAAGCCTAAAGGCTTAAAACGCAATTGTCTATAGTCTCCGTTTAAAACAATAGAAAATAATATAATTACAGAAAAAAAAACAGATCGATATATAACATTTGCTAATGGATTGTGTCAGGAATAAATATCTCCCTCTCAACTTCCGTTCGCTCGCCCAACCACACTTTTCGTAACGCTATCGTCACGCATTCACTAGCTTACTCCCCAATAGTCCCCAAGTCAAGCGTACGTAAAGAAGTTTTACTTCAAAAAAGAAGGTAGGCATACGATTTTAATGTTGATGTAGGGAAGTTTTATATATGTGTGGAGGAACGGATGTCGTGTTCCTCCAATAGAAAGGGACGATCCTCCGTGTGCGTTACCCCAGCAAAATAATGTCGAAAATGGTCATTTTAACGTTATAGATAATTAGTTGCTCCCCTTCTGTAATTGTTAGGCACATTTTTAAATTTGTTTCAATAAAACTTTTTAAGTTATTTCTAAAAAACATTTCCTGCTGGGGTAACGTTTGAAACGTTTCCGCAGCCAGACATTTTCTTTTTTAATTGTAATATTGAAATAAATTTTAGCTAAATAATTAGTTATCTGGACTAGGTAAATGTTACAACTTATTTGGTATTTGTATTTTCTTCGGCTGCGAAGTTATTCGAGATCCTGCTGGAGTAACGTTTGTGGGTTTGCTGGATCTCTGAAACGGGTAAGCGGATTGTAACCATCTTTTGTACATAACTTCTTAAGGATTAGTTTTAATTTGTTCGACAATAAAATAACAAAAATAATGGACCGTTTAAAAATTATTTAGGTAAGTATGAAAACACTTCAATACGTCCTAACACTTTAAATAAGACCTCTAAAGACTTACTTGAAACGTTATTCTATTGCTTGTACCTACCTTCAAATGTATACGAATTTTCGTAAGAATACTGTAAGTGACTAAAAAGTTATGATGAAATGTAGCTCTCCACGTTCACGATCACAATGTGTGCGGCCTTTTTTGGCCACCGATAAACCTGTGTGTGGATATACAAACTGAATGTTATGCCAATAATTAGTTGTTTAGTTCAGTTGTCTACCTGTAGAATTTCAGCGTCGTACATATAATAATTTACGAGATAATTAAATAAAAGTCATTAGAAGGTGCAAGTCCGTGGTAATCCGACCATGTTTAGGTGGTTACAAAAAAGCGATCACCCAGTACATTGCGCTGTCTTTTAAAATGTTTAGTGTAATACACCTTACGATTTCGGTACAGTTGCGTGCAGTGTTAAATACATTCAATATTTATTCATTATTATTACCTATTATTTATTTTGTTTTTTTTTCCTAATTGATCTTAAGCACTAGTTTCTTTACTTAAAATTTCTTTAGTCTTTTTAACTACCGGAGCTACAATCAACAGAAAATCTGCACTGGTCCGCTAAAATTATAAATATGTAGATACATGTATGAACGATTCACCTGACTGCAATAAATCGAAAATTTAAACCAATAAAAAATCGTTTCGTTTCTTTGATTTTTTTTTGTAAAGAAATAACACTAAAGTAATTGTATTTTATTTTGAGGTGTATAGAGCTTATACTTGAATGCATCAAAATATTTAAAGCAAGAAGTCATCTACAATAAGTTAAAATAGACCGAATAGTAGAAGAATACAGTTGTAATTAGAATGCATCAACATTGCATCGCCCAACAGTCGTATACCTCGTAAGAGTACCTAGGTAATATTGTTCTGTGGTCTATACCGAGAACCGAGAATTATCTATACCTATGTACCTTCCGCTAAACGTTGAGCCCGTGACTGTTGATTTCTGTTAAAAACGAACAGTTGTTGAATGATATTTTGATATAACAACGGTTATTTAATTTATCGAGTGAAAGTGATACATTTTTATAGATAAAATTATTGGTCAGATAATATTTGTCAATCAAGAATCGCCGATAATACATCCTTCGCTAGAACGCGGGAGGGGAGGGGCGAAGGGATACTTCATTGTTTGCAATTTGCATCTAGTGCACTAAAAGCGGCTATACACGACACTAAAATCAGCGGCGATATCGAGACAGTGCTAGGGGGTATGAAATCGGCTATTCTCTACACACGTCGCTGGCAGTCAGTACGTAACCGACCGTGCAACAGACTGCTCGTTGATCCGAGATGCCGCCGACACTCTCAAAGCAGCAAAAAATAGGCATTGTCTTGGCACTTACTATGGTGCCACCTGACCAGAAACGAAAAAGGAGGACCTGGGTTAAAAACTGGTTGATGAAACGTCATGAATTAAGCCACATGAACGTGATGAGACATTTAGAAGCAGATGAGTTCAGAAACTTTTTAAGAATGGATTCTGAGTGTTTTGAACAACTCCTCAATATGGTGACACCATTAATACAAAAACAGGATACCGTAATGCGAGAATCCATAAGTCCGAGAGAACGACTTACAGTTACTTTACGTTTTCTAGCAACTGGACAAAGCTATGAGGATTTAAAATTCAGTGCCGTAATATCGCCGCAACTTATGTCCACAATGATTCCAGAGACATGCTCCGCTATCTATAAATGTTTGAAACACTTCATTAAGGTTATTAGACTAAATTCTTATAGAGTAATTAAAACACCAATTAAAAACCATTTTTTCATTTATTTAAAAAATATAAGGTATGTATTAATATTATTTACTTGTGTTCTTTTTTTTTGAAGATCAAAAAATCCTTCATATCTGCGCCAGTTCCTATTTCAATTGTTGTATCACTAAATGTACAGTTTGGAAATTCAGTGTTAAAAGGTTCAGTGTTCGACGATGAAGAATACGGCTGCGGAGATGTTTGAGGGGATTGTGGTGTCATATAATGTTGGGATGGCTGAGGAGAAGGTTTTACCGTAAGCTGTGAAGATATTTGAGGGGATTGTGGTATCATATAATGTTGGGATGGTTGAAAAGAAGGTTGTAGCGTAAGCTGTGAAGATGGTTGAGGAGATTGTAATGTCATATATTGTTGGGATGGTTCAGGAGAAAGTTGTACCGTATGTTGTAGAGATGCTTGAGGGGACTGTGGTATCATATATTCTGTAGATGATTGAGGGGACGGCTGTACTGGATATTGTTGATAATATGGTTGGGGCGATGAATTTGTCACCGAAGAGCCAGAGGAAAAATGATAGGAGCGATGTGAAATGCGAGAAAGATTTGATGCTGTGTGTTGTGGAGATAAAGTGATAATAGATTCGTCTGTCAATTTGCCAAGTTTTCCGTAAAATAGGGCATCATTGATAATTTTTTGGACAATTGATTGTTGATGGGTACTCAGATTTTTCAATTGAACGCCTATTGACTTTCCTATAATGTCCCAGTCGTCATCTTGTCGAGTCATTAGTATCTGAGCAGAATCCAGCAGTTTTTCTTGTCTACTTTGTATAGACATTTTCTGTTTCTTGGACTGTGAAATTTTTGTGGAGACCTTGGGCACCTCTTTTTCACATATTTCTGTATTTATAATTTATTCCGATGATGTTGATGCTGACATCTCTGGTGACCATTGGATCTGTAATAAAACTTACACTTTACTTTCTGTTTCAGATGCCTACAACGCAATGAATGGAAAGACAATGCTAAAATGTTTGAAGACAAGTGGAACTTCGATCACTGTGTGGGTGCGATAGATGGAAAACATATATCCATAGAAAAGCCACCTGAGAGTGGCTCGTCATTTTATAATTATAAAGGTTTTTTTTGTATAGTTCTATTCGGCGTAGTAAATGCAAATTATGAGTTTATGTATGTACACACTGGCATTAATGGAAGCGTTTCTGATGGTGGCGTCATACAACACACATCCCTGTACAATAAGTTAATGACAAATGAGTTAAATCTACCACCACCGTGCACGTTACAGGGAACCAATATTTCAGTACCATACACATTTTTGGGAGACTCAGCATTCAGCATTAATAGACACATTATGAAGCCATACCCATTTAAGAATATAACTCACGAGAAAAGAATTTTCAACTACAGATTATCACGAGCAAGGAGAGTAGTTGAAAATGCGTTTGGAATCTTAGCAGCACGTTTTAGGATCTTTCGTCAAAGAATAAGTGTGAAAATTGATAATGTCGACAAAATTGTGCTAGCTTGTTGTGCCTTACATAATTATTTAAGAACAAAGTCCAAAAGTTATATGACCAAAACATGTGTCGATGCTGAGAATATCCACAATTCTACTTTTCGTTTAGGTGATTGGCGGGAAGAAACAACAGGACTAGTGTCACTGTCGCAAGTAAGTGAAAAAGAGCGCAATAATGAAGGCAACATTGTACGCAATAAATTTACAACTTATTTTAATGGACAGGGCAGAGTTTCTTTTCAGGAGGATATGTTGAGGGTAGTTCCTACATAAATGTTGTGTGTATTGTGTATATTATAAATAAAATATAGGTTTATGAATTACTTCAGTATTACTTCATCGTACCTCATCCAAAGTATCCGTACCAGGTCGGCATGGCTCCGTCGTCCCCTCTAGGAATTCGAAGAGACGATAATACCAAACCGATGGTACATAGATGTCATTAGACCCTGATCCTGTTTGCTTGGAAGCATTCACCTGAAACAAGTGAATTGATACAAATTTATCAAAATACTTATATAAATTGATAGTATTTTATTTAACGCGTAAGTACCCATATACTCGTAGGTACCTACTTATATTTTGCTGACTGGATACAAATGACATCTATAGATTTTGATAATCTCCTTTTGCTGCATACCATATGAAAACATAGCCCTCCTCTTGTAGCTGTAAATATTAGCTGGTTTCTATTGGCGAATCTCTATATATAGTCTTTGCACAGATTCTACATAATCTTACCTTTTTCAGCTCTCTTCCATACGTAGTACGCATATTTTCAAGCTTTTTCTTGAAGTCCGCCAGTGTTGTGTTTTTGCCGGTCTCTTCATTAAAAAGTTGCAATAGCATTTTGAATGCCTCCTGTCTCATGTCGCGGTTGAAGTATTCTTTGTGTTTTTTATCCCACAAATAAGATAATTCCCTGAAGAGATCAATAGTTTTCGTCCACGCTTCTCGCTCCTTCTCCTTCGCCATGTTTTCGCGCTAAACAAAGAGTATAACCTACTACAGGAAATAAAATAAATGGCGCGAAATAACTCGGACCAGCGCAAGCACGTCGTATCACCGTAGCACTCGCGCGCATACTGATCAAAATCAGTCTCGATTCCGCTACACATGTGCCGACCACGCTCCCTAGACGATAATCGTCCTTAAATCGTGAGTTCGCCCGAAGCGATTTTTGAATTAGGGTAAACAATAAAATTTCAGTTACGATTGGCTATACACGTGCCGATTTAAAGTACGATCTAGGGACCTCCCCGATATCGCCACTGATTTTAGTGTCGTGTATAGCCGCTTTAAACTTGACCCTTAGGCAGATAATATACGTCTTGTAAAGTGCGTGTGCGCTTCCGCTTTCTATTTTTGCAAATATTTATCGTATTCTTGAGAATTCTTCAATATGTGTCTACCTAATTACTAATAATAGGCATTAATGCTAATTCGATTCAATTTAAGTAATTGTCAATTCTTGTCTTAGGATATTAATTACTAATGCTTATATTGAAATTTCGTTCCGGGCGAACAAATTAAAAACGATCATAACTTGTAGGTAGGTATATCACTTATTACTAATTTTACATAAATAATTTATTTTATTAAAATTTAACTCACCGCGATTTTGTGATCAAATATTTTATTTTCTCCAACATTATTACAGAAATAATGCAATACAGAGTTTGTTCGCGATATGCTAGCCTAAGTCGATTCATCACTTAAAAAAAATCCCCATCTATTCACGAAATACCTATTTACAACGCATACGTTACACTCTTCAAAACTTAAATTACCTATACCTACCCTAAAATTAAACTTCAATTAACAAATACTACACAGGTACCAATTCTATGAACAAATATAAACAATTCACCTTAAAATTACGAGAAAACAAAAGCATACAAAACAATACCTAATCTCCCGGCTGATTACTAATTATGCAATAAACAATCCGAAATAAAAATTATTTAAAAACATGTAGTTTTTTGTAACACTTATGTACATATCCGTAGTAAACTTGCAAATAATATCCTACATATTTTAAAAGCCAGCACAATGTACTGGGTGATCGCTTTTTTGTAACCACCTAAACATGGTCGGGTTACTACGGTCTTGCACCTTCTAATGACTTTTATTTAATTATCTCGTAAATTATTATATGTACGAAGCTGAAATTCTACAGGTAGACAACTGAACTAAACAACTAATTATTGGCATAACATTCAGTTTATATATCCACACACAGGTTTATCGGTGGCCAAAAAATGCCGCACACATTGTGATCGTGAACGTGGAGAGCTACATTTCATCATAACTTTTTAGTCACTTACAGTATTCTTACGAAAATTCGTATACATTTGAAGGTAGGTACAAGCAATAGAATAACGTTTCAAGTAAGTCTTTAGAGGTCTTATTTAAAGTGTTAGGACGTATTGAAGTGTTTTCATACTTACCTAAATAATTTTTAAACGGTCCATTATTTTTGTTATTTTATTGTCAAACAAATTAAAACTAATCCTTAAGAAGTTATGTACAAAAGATGGTTACAATCCGCTTACCCGTTTCAGAGATCCAGCAAACCCACAAACGTTACTCCAGCAGGATCTCGAATAACTTCGCAGCCGAAGAAAATACAAATACCAAATAAGTTGTAACATTTACCTAGTCCGGATAACTAATTATTTAGCTAAAATTTATTTTAATATTACAATTAAAAAAGAAAATGTCTGGCTGCGGTAACGTTTCAAACGTTACCCCAGCAGGAAATGTTTTTTTTGAAATAACTAAAAAAGTTTAAGTGAAACAAATTTAAAAATGTGCCTAACAATTACAGAAGGGGAGAAACTAATTATCTATAACGTTTAAATGACCATTTTCGACATTATCTTGCTGGGGTAACGCACACCGATCCTCCGATCACGCGAGGCGATCATGCATATCCGGCCACGGCCCAACAGTTGATATTGGGAAGTTGTATATAAGCTAATCGGCGAGAAAATTCTTCATATCGCGATGCGGGATTAGCAATTCTCATTTAGGACTTATTCCGTAGTTCGGTGTGTCGTGTGTAGACGGGAGAGGTATGTTATTGTTACATTGACCGTAGATGCAGTGTGCTGTGCCTAGACGCTGATGAGGCCGTAGGAGTAACCGGGCTGGAGCGGTCGCTACCTGCTTGTGGTATCCCTGTTGTGGCCGACGTTGCTGGCTGGCAGTGGCTGGCTGAGACTTGATTATCGCTCATCGCTGTGGGAGTGTACACGATTGTGCCGATGGTCCTGCTGATGATTTGCTTCTTGAAGGCGAGCTGATCATTTTTGGTGGGCCGCGGTCCAACGGTTGATGTGGGTAAGTTTTATATTCATATCATTGGCAATTCTCATTCAGGAGTTCCTACGTAGTTCGGCGTGTTTTCGTTAGATGGCGCTGTAGTATGTTTCTGTTTCTTTGTATGTTGGAGTCGCTATACCTGCAAGCCTGCAACCAGTGTATGAAGCTCAGTTGTTATTACCACAAAGTACTTTTTTTTTTTTTTGTGAGTGAGAATCTGATGAGAACCATCTCATATGGGGGGAAAGTAGAAAACAAAGAATATATCTACTCTCTGGTAGAAAATGTGTTCTGTCTTTAAAAAGTAAATAATTTAGTTCTAAACCCAGAATGGCGCTAGTGTAGCCGCAAGGAATGACATGAACATAGCAGTTATAGACGGGAGTGAATTTTGCTGAGTTAAAATTTAAAAAACACTTTCATTGTCTGAAAGTTATTACTCGTTTATTTCTTGTCTGTAATACTCATTGACTATTTTCGAAGTTTCAATATATTATTTAAGGGAATAAAATTTTATACAATATTTTTCTTTCAATGGTTATTTCTTTTTCCTACACTACACACACACTACACTTTTGGCGCTTTCTTTAAAAAAATTCTTGATGCTGCTGTAGCGCCCCCAATGTTACGTATTTTGACGGACACTTTTCATGCACTACCTATTGAAGTAGCGGACAACGGACAAGACAAGAGTTGAATGTTTGGATGAAAACATATCTGTAGCATAACTAAGAGACAATCTACTTCAAAATAGAGTTGTAAGAAAGAGACAGCGAGCTTGCTGTTGTCCAATGTTTTTGTTATTTTGAAGTAAGGTAAAGTGCATTATCTGTCATGTCAGCTGAGTGATTATTGAGTAGATCAGTTCAGCAATGGTGGTGTTTTTATAATTTTGAGAGTATAAATCATAAACAGCACGTGTAGTCCATTTAATTTAGCTTTATGTGTTTATTAACACTTAATCGCAATTTATGCCTTCATGGACGTCGTCTAAGCCAGGTGAAATATAAATTTGCGAGATTGCCAGACTGCGTAAGTGCTGAATCTGAATGGGTTTTTTCATATGCTTTTAACAAACTTGTGTGATTTTGGCAGTGATGCTACTATTACTATTTATTAATTGGTTCGTATTTTAATTATTAGCGTACAGTGTTATATGTTAATTGTTATGGCAGTTTCTCTAAGACTTAATTTCCGAAATGGCTTGTACTATGACGTTGTTGTTTATATATGTTGATTTAACAGGCTTCTCGTTCGTGTAGTATTTATTTTTCTTTGTTAACTTTTATTTGTCTAATGGTGTATGTATCATTGTTATTTAATGGCTTTTCTAAAATTACATAAATTATTGTTATAGAAAAATTACAGATTGTGTTGTGTAGTGGCCTTAATAGGGTGTTTAGATGTTTTTTTATTTGTTATCTCATTCTTTGCTGCAGGCAGTAGTAGACAAGATAGATGCTACTACTTAAAAAAAACAGAAAAAAATGCATTCAGAAGCCATATTTAAAGGACACATGGCCTAAACCACATGTTTAAAAACAAAGTTATAGGGCCATAGCAGTACACTGTGGCTTAAATATAGATTGCTATGGTATTTAAAAGTAATATTCATTTGCAAAAAATATGTATGTATAGTATAATAGATTAAAAATAATGTTACAAATTATTTTCTACATTTGTTTTCTAGGTATCCATGGAGCTGCTAAGTAAAGTGAAGGAATTATCAGATTGATTATTTATTTGGATATTGTTTAAGTAGTGAAACCATACACTGCCACCATGTTGTATGTGTTTCATGTTGACGCAGGTCAAATGACCACATATGACATGAGCCTCACACTGCAAAAGTAAGTACATATGATTCAATACTTTTTTTAGTAGTTTTTCCATAGTACTTATTACAGTATTTAAAACTTGATAAAATGTTATTGTTATTACATATAAATGTTATTAAAAAGTGTAAAGGATTTTTTTTGTAATGCATTTTGCATCAGATTTTTTTTTGTATCATTCAAATATTTTAATTGTATCAAGTTGAGTTGTATAATTTGAAGCCACTATGGATAACAAACAATTGTTAAAGATGTTTAAGTCATGCCAACTGGGAGTTTTACTTATGTAAACTGTGGAAGGAATTATTATAAATTGAAAACAATGTATGACAAAATTATTTAAATCAAATCACTCAATCAATTTTACAAATATCACAAATAAAATACATTTATGTGTGTAATGTGTTTTTTATATTTTAATCTATTAGACATTAGTCATGTTCAATGTATGGGGTGGGTTACTTATAATACATACATAAGTAAATTTCCTTTTGTGTGTCAATTTTCATCCACTAAACAATTATTAGACTAAAGCTTTATTTTATTTACAACAATGAAATGTTTATATTTTAGTGTTTCGACGTTAAAACTAGCTATTGAGAGAAAAACCAAAGTGCCATCAAATCTTTTGGTGCTTCTTGTGAGTGGAGGTGAAGTCCTACAGTCAGATCATATGGTCTCCTCATATAGTGCGGGGACCGACAGCAACCCAATATATATGTTTAGTAAACCTTGCATGAAGGAAAGTCATCTAAAACAATCTAGTAAGTTAATATTTCGACTTCTTATATATCCAGTTAATGCCACATATTATTTAACTACAGCAACCAATACTGCCAATTATCGTTATCTGCAGCATAAGATATCCAAAAATGCACAGTGTGCATATAGTATGCATATTCACACACCATGTATTTATATCTGTTGAATATCAGAGAGACAAAACATTCATAAATTATTACATTCATAAATTAGGTAGCTCTATTAAGTATTATGAATCATAATAATTAATAGATCTACCTTTGGTAGAGATTATTGAAAATTCTTCACCATAAGTCTTCAAGTAGGGCATGAATTTTTTATATTCTTACAGCTTGCAAAGCTATTAAAGCTTAAATATGTTTACAAACATATTTTTAGGAACACTTTAATAACTTAAAACTACTGAATGTTTCTTCTACATTTTACAAGTAGTTTATAAGCCTTAATTCAAATTAATACATATAATAATGGATATATGCAAATAGGTGTAAACTTAAACATCCATCATTCTATCATTTTTATTTTTTTAATATCATATTAATTTGATTTACTATTTCACAGTGTGCGACTTAAGCCCAATAGTGGAGTTAAGTACTGGAGAGTTCTCCAGCGAGAGTCGTACTGCATTTGATGGTAAATCTTATATGGAGCTGAAGGCTGCAGTAGAGAAGTGTTGCTCACAACAAGCAAATGTTTATACTGTGATAAACTGCGCAACACTAGCACAGCAGTTCAGTGATCTGGCACTGGAAGTATCCAGAAGTTGTGAGCTGCTGGTGCATGATCAACATTTGCAGCACCAGGTAACATTTGTTTTACTGCATAAATCAGAACCACATTGTGTTATCCCTTTTTCTCCAGTCTCTAGCTACTGGCAACGGTTTGTGCAGTTTTCTTTACTGGTTGCTTTAGTTTTACGTGCGTACCTAGCGTGTGTGACCAGCTTTAAACAGCTTAGAAATATTTATTTTATATTAACTTTTTTCGCGACTCTGCCCGCGTAAATGTCGGTTATCGCGGTATAAAGTATCGGTGAAAGCCATTTAAAAAATCGATTTCAAAAATTCAATTTTTGTGAAAAATCCCTGTAAATTTAGCCCGGTCCGGGAATCGAAACTACTAAGGCACCGCTTTTCAAATTCCACCAGCTAGTTTATAATATAAGTATGGATGGATATACTAGCTTTGCTCGCAGCTCCGCCCGCGTGTATGTCGGTTATCGCGGTAAAAAGGAAGCCTATGTTACACACTAATAATGTAGCTTTCCATTGGTGAAAGAATTTTTAAAACCGGTTTTTAGCCAAACTCACTTCCACATTTATACTATAAGTTAGTGTGGATGTGTGGCAATATCCACATTCAAGACTAACATAAAGTTCCAAGAAACAACTGATAGACCATGGTCTGCCAGGCATGCAGTCACCTAGTTGAAGGACAATAACACCTGTACTGCTATTTTTATTGTTGCTGCTGCGCTATATGCTATTTTTCATTCAAAGAGCGTACTCCTGCCTTAAAGGTCGGCAACGGGTTTGTGACTCCTGAGTTGCAGGCGTTAATGAGCGCCGGCGGTCACTTTCCATCAGGTGACCCGTCTGCTTGTCTGCACGTGGGCTCCCCCCCTTCCATAAAAAAACTTGAATTTGCTAAATATTTAACATTTTTGATGCCATTTCTATGATATACCATCAGTGTAGTTTATTTCAAATCTTTCCACATCACTGAAATCTCAAGAAAGTTTTGTTTCAATTTCTTAAAATTATAACTTAAGGCTATAATGATTACAAAAAAATTACGCCATTTCATATTTGTAAAACAGACCTAATGCAAACTATAACTGTTAACCCATATACTGTCATCTCATTACTTTTAATTGTTAGAAGCATTAATAAATGTCCAATAATATCAACAATATATCAGATAGGTCTTTGATCGATGATATGTTGAATGTGGCATTAGGTGAATGGTTATTATTGAAATTGAGTACTTATGTTTATCCTAATTTCAGTTCTTAATACAATTTTTTTTTGTAATTTAATATAATAAAATCCATATACACATAGAGATATTAGTGAATTAATACGATATTGTCAGAGAACTAGAAAAAATTAGGAAAAATTATAAAAAAAACGAACTATATTAAAAAAGTTATGATTGTTATAGTGATCTTTGGGTTTTCTTGAATTAAAAATTTGTTATCCTATAGGGCTGGGCTGCGGTGGTGGCAAACTTAGAAGATATCTTCAACGAGTTCTGTGAGAGGTCAAGAAATTTTAAAGATGCGTTCCGAAAACATAGACTAAAAAAAGAAGACTATCATGAAAAATTGAGTGGGTAAGTGTTATTTATTGATTCTCTTTATCTAAATATTGCTCATATTGTTATTGTGGTGCTAATTCTGTTTTTTACATCACTATAGTCCAAAAAAAATAAAAGGTGCATTTTGACAGTTAAAGTTTAGGTTTGGGGTTTCTACAAAGCGATAGTGAGAATAACTGATTCAGATTTTGTAATCTGAATCGATTATATCGATAAAATTACGATAATATACCAGTATTCCTGGCTAGAACAATTTAAAAACCGGGTCTTGGGTCGCCTTAATTGGGCTGTTTATTAAAACATTAAGTATTGTAAAGTCACCATGTAAAGTGTCAAATGTCAATGATCTATGATGCCACAGATGTGCACGTAACATATAACTTGGTAGTGTTTTTATCTTAAGGTGGTGTCTTTCTCTTTGGTAAAAAATCTATCAATTAGCTGGTATCTGCAACTGTATACACCCAAGCAGGCAAAGTGCTTGTTTGCACCCTTATTAGTTATTTCAAGTTAAGCAAAGCTTTCTAAAAAACCACGGTGAAAATATGTCGGAGTTACCAATGTGAATTAATAAATAAAAACATAAGTTGACCTTTCTGAACATTAGATCAACAAACAACTAAACAGAAGAGACCTTAATGTTTAGAATATTGAAAATTGAATTAGATAATAATTAATGCGGTCACATAATTATTACTAAACTTGAAAGTTTTGTGCAAGTTCATTATTAATTTATTGTGAAGTAAACAGCTTAATGGTCATTTACAATTATTAGGTTTGTTATAAATTAATGGCACAACTACGTAACTACAAAGAAGTAGTTAATCGGTAATGATCTCAATAGTTAATTAATTCCTCTTTACCTACCGACCTTGAATAGTACCAAATAAAGTAAATGTCGGTGTAGGTAATGTGTAACGTATTAGGTTAAAAGAAGAAACGTCTTGACGTTCCGTTTACTGCCTCTGTACTGCCTCAGGACGAGATAAAGATCTAGATCAAAGTCAGAACAAAGACGGTCTTATATGAAGAAAATTTAAATGTACGATGTTTCCATTGTGTAATCAACATTAATTATAGTGTTGTTATGCCTTTTTCGTACAATCGGAAGGTTATACTGGTAGAACCCGCAATTTGGGTGACTTTCAAACAAACAAATTACGGCTTAAAATGTTTCAGTTAAATATATACATAATATAAAACACGAACAAATTAAACATGGCAGGGGAAATACATTATCCAGGCTAATTTCCGATACGCAAATAAGATTTATTATAAGTTTTGCTTTAGTAATACGTAATAATCAATCTGTGTAAAACAACAGATGTCGGTGAACCTATTCTAGTTTGTGAGCAATTACACACTATCGTGTGTATGTGTTACATGTTTCTAGGTAACTGTGTCCAATTGACCTATCGTGCTAATGTCGTGTTATCATTGTAATGAATAATGTGTTTCTACAGTCAGAATGAACGAAAGTGGTACCGCGTATTGATTTTTGTGGCAGTTGTAAAATGCAATTGTGAAGAACATTGAGCTGTCTTATAGTTTTTTATCTTTTGTTCTAATTTTTCTATTAAGATAATAAGGAGGGAACTCAAATCTGACTTGTGAGAGCCTAACCAGAAGAGTAAAACAACGTTTTAATTTCTTTTGATGGCAAAAGTAGCCTTACATATTCATTGTTTACTTATTGCTATTTTTTAGGTTGTTCATATGTATTTTATTTGTTGAAATACCAATATTATTGTTCTTAATTATGAGAGATTTTTTATAACATCTATGAAAATTTAAAGCTCAAAGCTTTTTTTTTGCCTCGGATACCCCCAACCGGACAGATGGTTATTACAGATTAAGGATTTCAAAACTTTTAATTTTACAATACGTAAAGCATCCATATTGTTAGTTCTACTCTATACTAGATGGTTCTGTTCTGGGAGTATGTATTTCATCAACTGACAGCATGCCTCGGAAAAAAGCAAAAATACCTATATTATCTTTGAGGATACAAATTTTCACTGTATGAAACAATTTTAATTTCTTTTGTGAGCGCGCGGGGCCCTTACCCGATGCGGCCCCATAGGCAGTTGCTTACTCTACCTAATGGTTAATCCCACTCGGCTGCAAGGGGTACGGTCATCCTCTCCAGTCATTCCTCCATGATGGGTGTTACCGCCGTTGTATCGAGCCGTACCAATTCACATAGATAAGATTACACTTGATGTTGCAATGGACATCAGCATCATCATCATTGTATTCTCGCTATCTGAATATAAATCAGTGTTTTGAAGAGGTCAGGATAGCAGTATAATAGTGCGAAGCGCTTTATAATTATATCATGTACATCTGACATGCTAATTTTAGCTTAAATAGTTATAATATCGGGCAGCCTGACCAGTTTCAAGTTAAAAAAATATTTAATCCTTTTTCAGAATATACATAAAGCTAGCACTATTTACAGACCTTATAATTTTGGAGTAAATCTAAATATTAACGTTCGAAAGTATTTGGGTACCTTTCCTTTATATTACAAACATCTTTTAAAACAATTTAATTTTATTGTTTGTACTTCGTTGCAAAATATGTCCCCATAATAAAAGGCAGTTTACTTGTGCCTTTCCTAAATTGTTAAATATTGGCTCGTGGTCATAAAACCGTTACATGTTATTGTCGGCATTTCTTTGAAGATAGACATTCTTTGAAGACTTGAAGATAAACTTTGTTGTTTAGTTATTCTAAGGTAACTTTTGTTTAAATGATAGGTTCATTTAGTAATAAACGCAAGTAAAATTTAAAATAGCTACTATAATTTTTGTTTACATAATGTGATCTGATGTCATTAGAACAGAAAACACACTCCATATCATAAGTCTAATATTAATTTTTGTTGTTTACATGTTCGTTTTATTTTTTGAACAAAATGGATGTAACAAAGGAAAATTTTCAAGACCCGAGAGGCATAATTGTAGACCTTTATACATTCGGTAAAAGAAACCGTAGATTTCTTTTACCGAATTTATTGTGTACTGCAGCCTTGAAGGCTTACGCTTCTTTCAAGAATGCGTAAGAGACCCCGACAAACTATTTTAAGAATTAGGCATAGTTGTTACAAGCAAACGTGTTAAATATTTAACTATACCAAAAATAACAGCACTGTGGAATTGTACTGTTATATCTGGTGCTTTCTGGGACTCGTATAATTTATCCCGAATTTATACTTCATCATCATCATCATCAACAGCCTTTAACAGTCCACTGCTGGACATAGGCCTCTTCTTAGAAAAGAGGTTTTGGCCTACTATACCACGCTGGCCAGACGGGTATAGTAGATTCAGCATTCAGATTTTATTAAATAACACTACAAAAGGGTAATAGGGTCATTGTTTAATTTGGTTGCGGAAATTCTTTTCTTTGGAGTGGATTGGTCACTCCCAACGTGGGTGGCGCGCTCCTATCGCATTCAGACATCGTTTTATATTTGATGGACTTTTAGGGTACTGAATTTGAATTTGATATACGTATTTGGTTTTATTGCCAAAATCATTGGCGACGCGTAAAAGGTAATCAATAATTTATTTAATTTATTATTACGTTGGGATAGGATAATCTAAATAAATCTAACCGCTGGGAAACTAAAATAACATAAGCGATTAATAAAAGATTGCCGAAAGGTGCTTGAAGGATGCGTGGAGTGCTTTTCAATATCAATAAATAAAATATTTTTACAATAATTGAGATCTAGCACTCCACGCATTTTTCCGTTAAAAAGATTTTTTTTTTAAAAGACATCTCCCGCATTAGGAATAAATCCTGTGTCGCGGGGGACTTTACAAACATACATGAAACGGACACAAAGAACACCCAGACTCAACAATTTGTGGATCACACAAAGTGTCGTCCCATGTGGGGTTTGAACCCACAACACTCGGCGTAGTAGGAAGCGGCGTGGCGACCGCTTAAACCACTAACGCCATCCGTGCAGTCGTGCATCAGTTTTTGAACCTATAGAAGATTATTTTCTACTATTTTGGTTCATCTGGTTACAAAAGCGTGTTTTTTTTAGCTTTTTTAACCTATAATTTATTTTATTATTATTGAACAAATTTCAATTATAAATTGAATTTTGTTCAATTTAATTTATCATGAAAATTACCATGATACTTATTTCGTTATGGAATTATTGTAACTGGCAGTTCATTACAAATTGGTCTTTGCTCAAATATTCCTTGCGGCGCGGCGAAGGTTTATTGTCATTTTCCTACCATTTCAGTATTGTTGTCAGTAGACGCGCTATTTTTAATCATCACTATACCCAATTGCATGTGACAGTTATAAAAAGAGTCCATCCGAGAAGTTTGACCATCTGGAAAAATTATTCCTGTTGGACAAATTAGTCGAAATACCAAGTTTGATCAAGTGGACGAAGGGAAAGGGGTTAAGGACGGTCCTTTTTGCTCAATTTATAGTTGACAAGTGAGCGGTGGTTATACGCTCATACTCACATATTTATCTATTTGCGATTTAGCAAGTCATTGTCTGTTCTGAAAGAGATTTGTATGTATGAAATTACTTACAAATGTACAGAATTAAAGTAAAACATCTCCATTCCCATTAAATTTCTGGTTTAAAACGACCCGTAAGTTTTTGTTTTTGTTCATATATACAAAAAAATAACTTGTTTAGCCCCGAAGCACGGGTATTTAATTGGATTATTGGATTTGAAAGACCAGATATCGGTGCTCGAAGCAGGGGTATATTATGTTACACACACATTTCACTCGATACTCCTTTGGCCCTATCTAATAGATATCACGTTTTGACATTGCTCTTCTAGAATTTTGATGCGGTCGGTCAAGTAACTGCTGGCTGCCGGCTTATAAGACCAACGAGGTAGCCTATGAAATAATAAATTTTACATAATAACGAAAAAAAATAATTTACAATAGTCATGCAGTTACTACGTTATAGTTTCTTAAATATGTAGTTGATATTTCTTTCACTTTTTAGTTTTGACGAGAATAAGAATTGACCTGAAATTAACAAAACCGAAAATAATTTTAACAAAAAGAGATATTTTTCAAATCTGTTATAAAACAGTACGTTTTTGTCATATCGGTGTTTGAGCATCGGTAATTTTGACCCTGAACGGTGCGCGACCTACTTTTGTTTCCCTATTCTCGGCCGCAAATACCGTCTAGACCGCATTCCCGATAAGCCCAATGTGCTTATCACCGCGTGATACGAGTTTAAAGTACGCGTGTCTCTAAATACTTGTGTTTATCTTTACGCGTGTCAATCTTTTGCAAGACAGCTTATAAGAAAATAATGCATTATATCAAAATTAATTCACGTTACTTCTTAGATATGTAAATGTTCTTTTTCACAATTTTGCTCGAATAGAGAAATTACTATTAAAAACGATGTTTGGGCAAAATTTTGTGTATTCACGATGTACTTTGTAAACAATACTTAATCAACGCTATATATCGAGTCATTTACTATTACCCAAATACTTTATTTTACATTATGTGGTATGTAACTTAAGATAGGTATTAAATACTAATATCTAGATCCAGCATTAATAAATACGTTTTTATTTTATTTTCTAGCCTGAATGAAGTTTTAGAATCTCTAGGCAAAATACCAATATTGCCCGCTCTTCAATTGAACGCCGAAGCGCATCGATTTTCAGCCTTCGATGTCTTTGAAGACACCGATTTTGAGGGTCCCCATTACCGAATGACGCACCCGCTCGACAACAGTTCTGAGACTAAAGCGTACCAGGACTTTGGAGTTGAAGCGTTCAAATTATCTGACGAAGACGGTAAGTATTCTGTAAATACTTAAACTTGTAACTTATTATTAATTACCCACTTTGAAATCGGCCATGCGTCGAGTAAGAGAATATTTAAATAGTAAACATGTAGACAGCTTGCTTTAACAATAAAAAATGATGAGTCATTATGTCTTTAAATAATATTTTTGTTTCTTCGAATAGTTACCAACCGAGAGACGAAAAACTATTTTAGTTGTGTAATTAATGTATGTTGTTTCCAATTTCAATGAGTCGATGCTTCTATTTTTAAATAGACTAGAACAGGTAAGACATTTAAGTAGCTGTCCTTATAATCAGATGGATACGACATTATATATTTTCATTTGTTGTTGGCATAAATCAGATTATTTTTTGCATTCGGATCGTTGTCTGATAGCTAACTGATAAGATATTCTAAGACTCGTTCTTATCTCTAGTGTATACATAATATACGCGCTGTTATGTCGCGCTGTCGTCATAACACAAATTGTTTACCGCCGTCTACCCAAAACCAAGATTACAGATTCTGTTAGTATTTGTATTGTCATGTATATCATTAATTCTAAACGATATTGTATTGTGTATGGATTTTTAAAGGATTAGAAAACGTATCTTAAGACGTAAGGTGGTTCTATATTTTGTTAATGTATGTTTTTCTCTCTAAGTATGCTTTAGCTTACACTTAGCCTCGAGATTGCCCGCAAAAAATTAAAGTTTATGGTGTAATAGTTCCGTACTTACCACTCAAGTTCGATTACACATTGTATGGCAACTGTTCAATGAAATGATTTAGAAGAGACCTCGTTCTCCAACAGCTGTATTAAAATTACTATGACGTAGTTAGCGTCCATCGCCGATCTACTAGTTCCTTCAATAGTTTATTAATTTATTGCCTTTTTTGTGTTATCAAACATTTATAAACTATATTGGGTGACCGCGTTTGGTTTATTTCTAACCGACTTCAAAAAGGAATAGGCTATCAATTCGGATGTTTATATATATTTTTTATGTTCGGGCATAACTCCGTCATAATATATTGACGGATTTTCAAATATTTTTTTGTGCGAAATGGGTTTATCCGAAATGGTTCCATTAAAATTTTATATAGATCTGATGATGAATTCCGGAGACAGACAACGGAACTCTTCAAAAAATAAATCAACCGCGATTGCTGCTAAGTTTTCAGTGCTCTTTGTTAGTATTGTTTCAAGTCGGTTCAATTTATTTTTTAAAATGATTTATGTAAGGAAGTGTTAACAAAAGTACCCCATGTCTTCATAAAGAATTAGCAGATCTCGCAGTTGTTGGAAGTGCTGAGGGGGGAGGTAGTGTGAGTTTATTGCACATCAACTCGCTCTCGACGGCAAGTGTGAACGGCTTTGCGATTAGTGACGAGTTCACAATATGAATACACAAGTTACGCGAACGGTCTTACATTTCAAAGAGTATAAAACCATTTAGAAAGCCGCGATTCCTTCGGCCAGGTGAACTACATACTTAGTTGTCATTGCAGGAGTCACGAATTCCATCTCTGGCTTTTCAAATTGAGATCATAAAGATAATAATTGAGACCGTCTTCTTATAAAGATTATCTGTCATTTTAGATATACTGAACTGTTTTCCGTTCATTAAATAGTTTTCTACGCTATAACCTTTAATAATGAATCTCCCGTGCGTTAATGTTATATATGACCACTGATGTACTTGTAATTCAAAATAAGTTCAAATTTCATTATAGTTTTCAATCAAGACCGATCTTCGGCCAATGAAGGGGTATCCACTTCAGAACCAGTACCTCACATTGAGGCGTCAGATGAAGAAAAATCCTTCAAAGCTCAGTCGTATGAAGGCAAGGAAGAACCTTCTTTACTACACTGGATTCTGGCGCAAGGAAATAAAGCGTCTTTGCAGGATATTGTGGATTATTGCCAAAAGGGATTAGCTTTGGTAAGAAGATTTAATGGCTTATATATTTTTTTCACAGATTATAAAATACCTTGAAATATCGTTGGAACCGATACAAGACGATAATAAGGACATCATTGTTCTGATTGCTATTATTGTTGACTGGAATATTGGCTCTTAAATATGTGTAGACCATTTTCTTCAGAGTTTTGTCTTTGAACTAATCCATATCAATTTTTAATTAAGATTAGAAAGTCACGATACTGCATCACTTCGCCTTACCGCTGTTGAGTATGATATTTTCTTCATTTTAATGAGCTACATGTGAATATGCTGTTATTTCATCTCTGGCATTAAGGTGTATTAACTTTATCAAAACGCATAAAAACTTTATCAAAGTATGTTATAAGATTACAAACACTGTTTATGTTGTAGTAGGTCGTAGGATATAACTTGGGTATTTTACTCATAAGTAGCTCTTGGAAATACTTACTCATATGGAAATTTAGTAAGTTACTTATAAAAACAAAGAAGAAGGCTCTCTCAGAGAAAGGAAGTCAAATGATATCTTGTCTGCTATCTAAGCAAAAATATTTTTTGATCGATTCGTTCCAAATAAAAAAAAAACCTAATAGCATATTGTAATATAGTTATGTTTGTCAGTTTTCCTTCTAAAGATAGTTTATATTAACCTTTTTTGGTTTTTTAAAAGACAACTTCCGCACTAGGTATATATCCTGTATCGCAGGGGACTTTACAAACATATATGAAACGAACGCAAAGAACAACCAAACTCGGAACAATAATTTGTGGATTACACACAAAGTGTTGTCCCATGTGGGGATCGCTCCCACAACATTTAGCGTAGAAGAAACCGGCGAGGTGAACGCTTAAACCACAACGCCATCCGTGCAGTCATATTTTTGGGTTCTTAATTGGTATATTTTATCATGATTACAACATATAAATGTATCAGTGCTGCCTACAGGCTTCTTAACATTAAAGTAGATAAGACTTTGAAAGAAAGTACTTACAATGAAAGATTTTGTTAGTCATTACATTGTGTTATTATGGACATTATTACAGTATTGATGGATTACGCTTTTTGGGAACACCCATGGTTAAGGGATAACCTTATTTTTTTCAGCTAAACGCCGAGCCTTTGAAAGAGCGCGAGGCGGAATTGTACCATATATTAGAGTACGCCAACATGCATGGTTTGAAGCAGCTAAAAGGAATTGAGGAACGTTTATATGGATTAGGCCAGCTACTCCACGAAGTGAAGAAACTAGAGCGTGATCAAAGAGATCAAGCTGCTTCCCTTATACAGGTAAATAAAAGGTTTACTGAAGTCGGGGGTAGTTTATTGTAATAGTTCACTTTAGTTCATCTTAGTAAGTTATTAATGGTACTTATGTAGTATTAAGCAATAACTGGTATAATTCTCATGACCTCATAGTGAAAACACGACACGGTTGGTTTTCACACTCGTAATTCTTGGGTTATATATCTATATCTGCAGGGTCCAGGGCCATTACTGTAAGTTGCTACATCAGGCTTCCAAAAATAACCAGCTGCTAGAACCAGATGCTAAATATTTATGTGTCATGTGACGGTAGCTCTTATTTATTATAAGATTATGTCGTAAACTCAAATCATAAGTTGTAGTATATGAAAGTATTACCATTACGTACAAAGTTTATTTAAGTGCTGTTTTAACTCACGAACATGTTTTGTAAGTATATGTGTGATTAATTTCTGACATTGAATCTTGAAAATTTATGAATGTTTATTGTTATTAGTACCGCGACCGTCTAAACACAGCATGCGACCCATCAGTACTACCCACGTTGGTACAATCTCACTGGTGCCAGCTCAAGAAACTATTGAAAGGTTACCAAACCCTGATCGACATCCGAAGGCGCATAGCCAACTCTAAGGAGGAATTATGCAATGTATTAAAAGCCAGGTTACAGTAAGTATACCCTATGTACTGTGTTTTTGCTAATTCAGTAGTATATTGATTAAAGTATGCATTGTATAAAGTTTATATCTTACAAATCAAATACAGTATTAAAATTATTTCTGCATCATCATGATGCGTTTTGATGACTTCAAAAATATGAAATGGATTCCTTTTAATAATGTTTTGTGCGTTGTTTCAGAGCGGTGCTAATGATCGAGAACAAGATGTCAGTGCAGGATGCGCATGCTATGTTATCTTTCCAGTGCTTCAACCGATTGTCCCGGTACTTTGGCATCGTTGCGCAGCTACACAAAGCACCGAATGTGTTCATACGTGCTGTACATGAAGTGGCTCGACGGAGAAAGTTCTCGCAAGCCCATCTTCAGGTAATATATGAAGTAAATGTTTTCAGCCGCATTTGCAGTCGGATGTAATAGGTTGGTTAACAACCATATTTTGACGACCGAATGGCGTAGTGGTTTGTGTAACGGACTGCTATTCCACAGGTCGCGGATTCGATTCTTGCTCAAGTGAAACATTTGTGTGCATGAACATTTAATGTTTGATTTGGTCTGGGTGTTTCTATGTATAATAAGTATGTATTTACAAAAAAGTATATATGTATTTATATCAGTTGTCTAGTACCCATAGTACAAGCTCTGCTTAGTTTGGGACTAGATGGCGTTGTGTGAACGTCGTACAACATTATTTATTTATTAAAATTAAATGAACTTTCCTCTTTTGTATAACTTTAAAAATGCACATGCAAAGAAAATTGAAATGAATTAAAAAAGAAGGATTAAGGTTCGAATGTAATACTCATTTAAAATAGTCCTAGACTGGTAACTTCTACTTATCTCTTTAATATTAATGTTATCAAATAGTGTATAAAAAACTTTTTTATCCTTTTGGAATTACAGTTTTGAGGCACAAAACAAAAAAAAGATAATAGTTACTCAGTTTGTCATTAGTTGGAACTAGGATTAAACACATTTCTTAAACAATAACAAACTGGTGGACTTCGAAGAAAACTAAGTTTATTACCCGAGCCTACCGAAGAACGTTTAAAGAATAACACGGCTTAAAGTTTTAGCATAATAATAATGGAAAATCATATTACGTTAATCGTAAACTTCTAAGAAATGTTAACATACTTCCAATGTCTCCATAAGCCTAATTTTTTGTCGCTTTTTATGACTTGCAAATCCGACGCTCGAGGCAGGTATAAAGATAACGCGCAAACAAGGGTAGGGCAGTTTTGCAGCTGCCGAGCGACTCAGGTAGAAATGATACAACTTCTATGATTTGATATATAGTATGATAATAATAATAAACTTACCTCATTTTACACAGAAATATTTACGTGAATTTAATAATTAAAATATAATTTAAAATTAGTTTATTAAAATTTAATTTATTTATACACATAATGTTCTTAATACTGCAACTCCTCAAATAACATCACAGGATATACTATAAATAATATTTAATATTTACACACATCTCACACGCGGCAGTCTGATCCCACACTAGGCAGAGCCTGTACTATGGTAACCAGACTGCTGATAAACATATTTATATATATCTAAATACAGACATATTATTGATAAATTACACACAGACACAGAACAAATGACCGTGCTCATCACACAATTATTTGTCCCGGGTGGGAATCGAACCCACTACCTCTGGAGTAGCAGTCAGGGTCACTAACCACTAGACCAACAGGCCAGTCAAATGAAATGATATGATAACATAGGAAAATGCTAGTTAAAATAACAAGTTAGAAGCTTGAATGAAGCTACAAAATGCATGCTCGAAGCATGCTTCTAACTTGCTGAGAACCATCTTCTTATTTTTTTTAATTAAAACCCGAAAAGTTAATAGTAGATTTTTTGAGTTGTGACCAGACTAAACTTTATCATCATCGATCAACATCACTCAATACAACAATAACACTGATGACCGTAATGTGATAGAATATTTATCCTGCGTTATTATTTTTATGTGATTTTAGTGGGCAACGGATTTGTCGGAGAAGTTACATAAAATTCATCAAGAAGAAGTAGAGAGGCGGCAAAACTTTAACACACTGTTCGAAGGCCATTTTCTAAGAAGTCTGTTTCCGGGAATGACAGAATTTCCGCCCGCGTTTGCGACGCAATCACCTCCGCCATTCGACGCTAATTTACCGAAACTGACAGATTCTGACGTGGAGTTCGTAGCCAATGCTTTTCCTGATCTAGCTAAAGAAGTACCTGCCTATGATATGAACGATACTGTACAGTTTTTCCAGCAAAGGTATGCATTTTTTGTTAATAATGAGCACTAATTGTAATGTAGGTTACACATAATGATATTATATTTAAAGTAATTTAACTCAACACAAAAAACTAGACAAGTGCAAGTCTGTTTCCGTGCACCGGAGGTCCGTGCAAACTTCTATGTAGATTGTTCGGTTCTCGAACATAGCAAATCAAACTACTAACAAACGAAAGTTTGAGTATATCAAATCTAAAAATACTCGATGGCACAATATTTAAGTTTACAATGTCTATTCTTTTATACGGGATATATGTATTTACAAATTAATGAGTTTCTGATGTTTGATTTCCACTGAATACCGATAGACAAAGAAGTAGTCCTATAAGGGTTTCTTTATTTCCTATGGAGAAACGGCACTGTAAAACTGAATGAATTTTAGTTATTTGTTGTTTTTAAAGATACAACTTGCGCAGATAAACTACATATGATTAACACAGTCTCCTAGACCGTAATTACTAAATGGCACTCCTTAATCAGACAAAAAGGATATGACGTTGTACATATTTAATCCAGGATGGCATATTTTTAAATTTTATCTTAACCAATACTTGCCAGCTAATTTCTTTAAACCGACAAAACAAACATATTATTTTTGTACGTATTTATATATGTAATCGCACCTATGAAGAGTGCTTTTTTAGGAACTGTTTTTTTTTTGCTGCTATATGCTATAGTTGCTCTAATGTTTTAGAGAAATTTCATTTGGGCCTTCAATCACTATTAGAGATAGGCGGTTATAACGCCATTACACACACATATATGTATATACTACTATTATTTGATTTTCAGATTACGAGCGTCAGTAAGTCAAAGTAGAGACGCCGATGTTCAAGTCGACGTTGAAAAGTAAGTTGCATTTGATTTATTTGTTTAAACTGAAACTATTACACTACTACAAACTACCAAATAAATAGAAGTTCGAGAAAAGCGATGGAAAGAGTTCTTAGCTTTTTTCGAACTTTAATTATTTTTAGTAGATCTGAGAATAGGGATCCCTTTTACCTAAATACCATGTAACAAGCCTTTTAACACCTTTCCAAACACAAGTTAAGTGTAAGATCAATAAAAATAATTTATTTTCCTAATCCGCAGAAATTTCGAGTCAGTGACGGACGCTGGCGACTTTGATAAATGCGAGCAGAGTGAGCAGAAACAGAAAGTCGACATGTCTACGATTTGTGTACCTGATACAATGACCGTGTCAACGGTGACCGAGGTGGGAACTCTACCGGTTATATTGGAAACTGTGGAGAGCCCTCGAGAATTCGAAAATTCCGATTTTTACATCGAAGAATCGCTACCATCAAGCTTGGAATGGGGCCGGAACGAACGTCAGGTGTACATCTACCCTGTTCGACAATCGATAGACGTTGCTCTTGTAAGACCTCTACATTTTAAAGAGTCGTCGAACCTCTGTGGTCTTCAATAGAGTTTGAACTTCTAATACAATTTCTAAAATAAATCCTGACGGTGGGAATTAATTAAACGATTTAATTAAAATTTTAAGGCGGCATTAGCTAGCATAGCTGTATAAAAGAACCAATAGTGGATTTCTTCGACTTGTATTATTATTCACAAAAAAATACCAATAACATTGCTCAGCTAATTTTAAATATAGCTTTGTAAACTTTAATTCCCGGCTTACGTCATTAGGCTTACCTCCTATCGAAACCAAATTATTATAGTTGACAAAATAATTGTCTATGTTTAATATATACGCTTATAGGTGTCTATAAGCGTTAAACATGACAATACATTTTCGATCAACATTAAACAATCTCATACAGATTTCATGAATTTGCAGCCTCCGAAACTTGTAATTTTCTCGTTTTATTTATGAAATTTGTTCATGACAAAGTTTAACCATCATATAGTATTGTAATTTATCTTATTATTTGGTTTCTTCTACGTTTAACTACTATTGCGTTTAACTATATAAACACTTTGTGCAAAATGTACCTGTGCATTCCTGTAGCACTCGTCTCAAAGGGAATACTATGTTCTCTTCTCGAAACATCTCTAAGTCCTGTTAATCTCATAAGATTCTCTCACATAACAATGGAGAACTCGCCGCACTAACGTTAAGACTAGTAAATTGTTTATTAATTTCTCTTATATGACTGATTCATTCAAGAGGTCTCACTTGAGTAGCATTGTTTGTTATTTTCTTTGCTCCTGTGTTCACCGGCCCCGTATTAGCTATAATTCATTTTTTTCGTTTGCATAGTAACATTTTATCATTTTTACGTTATACATATATTTCATCTTTGCTAGTAAGGAATTATAAAATGCATAATAATGTTTTGGCGTTATTAACATTGTGTTCTGAAGATTCTTTATTTTTTCAGGATAATATGGATAGTCATAAAATAAACATGGACAATCTGCGGGAGTTTTTAAATAAACTGTACAGTTTATGTAAAGTAAATATTGTTTATATTCTGGAGGAATTAATTAAGTTGAAAAGTGAAGTCGATGAGCAGAAGAAATTTATTAATAGTGCGTATTTAGATATATTGGAGGCTTGGAATAAAAGCAATGATGAGAGCGCACTAAGATATCGAGAACAGACCCAGAGATTAACGGTAGATCACGAATTAGAACTAAGTGATATGAAGGCAACTCTTAATGAAAAGGATAACACAATCGAAACGCTAAGAGACGAGATTGAAAATACAAAAGAAAAGTACATAAAAGAAGTAGAAAGGGTTGAGAAAGACCATGAGAGCACTAAGGCGGTATTGGAAAATACTCGAGACGAGATTCAAGATTTCGGAAAGAAGTTGGAGGAAATTGAAGCGCAAAAGCAGAAACAGATAAAGGAATTGCAAGAAAAAATGCATCAAGATTATAAAGCTGAAATAGAATCCATGAGATCCAGGTATTTTTAGTTACAATATATTATTTTTTAAAATTATTAAAAATTTAGATAGGCCACCACGTGGTTAGATAAACTACGTGTGTTGTGAAATAGTAAGTGAAGACATCATTCAGAGAATTGGCAGTTTAGAACAAAGAACTACTTCTTTAAAATCGATTAAGAACTAACTGTTTTAATCATAAAGGATAGTGGAGACATCAATGTTAGTGTTTTTTTTTAGTTAGTGTTTCAATACAACGGTAAAAATTCGGACAAACGTTGCCGTACAAAACGTACTAAGTGTTCTAAAACACTCTAATATGGTCTTATACAGCTAGAGGCGAAATATTACATTTTGTTCAAATCAATTCATATTTATATATTATTCCTCTATATACTGTAACATCCTATGAATGACCAAATTGTGTTAATATGACTATGTTGTTTTCAAGGCGAATTTGTAATTTATCAAAACTTTTTAATAGGTTCAGATTAGTAGCGCTGACGAACATGGACCGTTCTCCATCGGAGTCAAGTCTTGAGAAAATCGAACGCACTGACGTCATAGAGATTACTAATCACAATGCAATAGTAATGCAGACGAAAGAGAATGCCGAGGTGGAGAAAGAAGAGGCGGTAAAAGAAGCAGTGGCCAAGTGTGAGGCGGAATGGAAGCTCAAACTTCAGACCGAAGTGAATGCATTGAAAAATAAATACGAGGCAGATAAGCAGGTATGAGGCGCTTCCTTGCATATATGGTCATGAACACATTTAGGATTGAAACAAACTGAATTAGCCTAAAAAAAAGCTTTGCAAAGCATTGATCTAAATACCCTTAAATCATGATAAATTGTAAAACAGTTCCTTATGCCGTCGTTTTCTAAATTTAGAAATGGAATGTTTTTCTTCAAATTTAAGTCAGTTTTAGGACACTAGGTCTCCTAAACGTGTACATTATGTTTCAATAATTACATGACTGTTAGGTGCACATACACTCACGGGAAGAAGTTCGCCGTCTCTATATGGGGGTCGTGCGATCCATGGTCCTCTATGGGGCGCCCGTCTGGTCTAATGACTTGGCGGGTGCCTCCCGCTGCAAGGCTCTACTCAGAAGCCTACAGCGGTTGATGGCCATACGGGTCGTACGGGGTTATCGTACCATCTCGTTTGAGGCGGCGACGGTCCTGGCTCGATATCCACCCTTCGACATTCTGGCCGACATGGACGCGATGGTCTATGACCAAGTCCGTTCTGTCGGTCGGAATGGTGAGGAGGCCGCGCCGGATCATGAGCCCGGAATGCTACGGCGGAACGCGCATACGCAGGCTTTGCGAGCGTGGCAGGCACGGCTTGTAATCCAGGGCTGTGCTAGCCAACGCGCCGTCGGAGCCGTTCTGCCGAGCTTCGAAGCGTGGGTAGGGAGGAACGACTGTGTCACCTACCGATTGACTCAGATGCTTACCGGGCACGGTTGCTTCGGTGAGTATCTGAATCGAATTGGACGGGAGGCTACGGCACGATGCCACCATTGCGGGTCCGACCGGGACTCCGCCCAGCACACGCTGGAGGACTGCCCTGCATGGGAGTCCGAACGTCGAGTCTTGGTCGGACAGATCGGACGAAACCTGTCACCGCCAGCATTAATCGCGGCAATGCTGGCGAGTGGCGAGGGATGGGCAGCCGCGGTCTCCTTCTGCGAGGACGTTATGCTCCAAAAGGAGGCCGCAGAGCGGGATCGGGAGAGGGCCGATCCCGCTCGAAGGAGGCGGCGAAGGGGACGCGGCAGAGGTCGCTAACTCCCCAATCGCCGCCTAAGGGTCACTGCGGCCACATCTTGGGGCGATGTGACCGCTGTAAACGACCCGAGACGGATGACACTCCGGTGCGGCCGGGGGGGTGTCGTCTAAGGCGGGACGCCGTTGCGCCTTTTACTCTGTAGAGCAGTGAGAGGCGCGATAGCGTCCTGCCCCAGGGTGACTACGGTCACTCCGGGATGTGCCTCAGACATGAGGTACGGCAGGGAGGACTCCAGAAGTCGCCGATGCGTTCCTGGAGCTCCTCCCGACTGCCGAGGTAGGCCGCCGCGGGGTTTAGTGGGTAGACCGGTTCTCCGGGAGTCCCACACACGCCCTGCGTTTCCCCAACGGAGGGTATGGTGCGAAAAGCATTCCCCGCGTGAAAAAAAAAAAAAAAAAAAAAAAAAAAAAAAAAGGTGCACATACACTGTTATCAAGACATCCAAAGAGCGAGGAGCGTGCAATCTGAAAATTTGACATAATTTTTTTTAGTTAATCGAAGTAATCTGTCTTTATCTCTGTTGCAGGTACAACTGAACGATATGACCCGACGTCTGCTGTCGGAGAAGGATCGCCAGTTGGACGCGCTGCGGGAGCGCGAGGCGCAACTGACGCGCGAGTGTTTCAAGTATCGCGAAACTATACAGCAGCTCACCGACCCAGACACGAACGATAGCGAACAAATACTGAACACACAAGTAAGTTTTTTCTTTTAGAATTGTATTATATCGTCGCGGTAGAATGAATACCTCGTATGTGAAAAAAATTAATATATTTTTATTTTTGTAAAAATCTAATGAAAACCACGTATCTCATAGCACAGCAAAGCCATAGATGGCATTAGTAGCCATTAATTGGATTTTTGGCTTTGCTGTGCTATGAGATACGAGGTTTTAGAGGTTTTAGGAGATAGGATATTAATTTTTTGACATACGATCTATTCATTCTACAGCAACGATATGATTTTCAAGTTGTCTAAATAACATTTAAATTATAAATACAGTGTGTACATTAGTATATTTTATGGTATTACAGATACGATCGAATCTTAGTTTATAGTTTTGTTATGTTATTGCGTTAGTTACCACCAGAGTTATAATTTTCACCTCTTTCATAAATCCCTGCGAAGATACATGATGTGGCTGGTGTGAATGGATGTACGATAATTAAAAGAAGGATTTTTTTTTAATTTATAATTTATTCAGTTACAGCTGACAACGCTAGAAAATGAAAGATCATTACTTAAACAGCAAGTAGTAGAACTGAAGAAAGAATTAGAAAAGAAAAACGAAGACACAGATAAAAGTGAGAAAAGCAAAGAGGAAGACAGTGATGGCAGGTATGGGAAAAATCTGAAAACTATACATTTGTAATTAAATCATAAAAAACATAGTCCATTTAAAGTACGTAATCAATCATCAAGGTATAATTTCACTTAATATAAGTTTATTCAGTTTCTAAAACCTACCATTAATTTCTAATTAATTGTAGGTTTTAGAAACTGAATTTCGGGTAGTTTGGAAGAAAAACTGCGATCGATTCCTGAACTGTTTATAATGTGTACCTACAAATTTGTACGGAACCCTAGGTGGGCGAATCCTACTCGCACTTGTCCGAATTTTTTACAAGGATTATAGAGGTTGGTGACGAAAGTGCGTTGCCTTTAAAGTTTGAGGAACATAGAAATAAATCTAAATAAACCTTTATTAATTTTATCCGACTATATAACTCCCCAGTATTCGTGCGGTAATTAATAACCATTTTTTTTTGGCTGGCCTGTTGGTCTAGTCTGACTGCTAAACCGGAGGTTGTGGGTTCGGTTCCCACCCAGAACAAATATTGTATGATGAGCACGGTCATTTGTTCTGTCTGGGTGTAATTTATCTGTATTTCGAATTTTATAAGTATGTTTATCAGCAGTCTGGTTACCATAGTACAGGCTCTGCCTAGTTTGGGATCAGACGGCCGTGTGTGAGATGTGAGAAGTTATTATTATTATATATTAACGTAATATGATATTTTGCATATGAAGTGATAATTCACCTAAGCATCTTCACTGTCCTTAATGATCTTGAGGATTCGCATAAATTAACTCTGAATTATTATATTATTTCCGTTTCCTAACTCTCTTATAAGTATAAGGCTTTATTTAATGTCTTAGTTCGTTTTAATATTTTGAACAGGATGTAGTGGAGTATCTTTCATTTAGTTAGTAAATGTTCTCATTAATTGCAGGTCATCTCCTAAGAAGGAAGAGGTCCGCAAATGTCGGCTTCGTTGTCATACTCCATATGGATTGTCAACTGGTACACTATCACTGTCCTCTTGTCTACCTGGACACACTGTACTTGTTATGTGGGAACCGTCTCATCACAACTACACTGTACTCCAGGTAAGTTGAAAGTGATATCTGCATTTCTGAACATTTTAAACCGCGTTATTTCTGTTTATAACACTGTTACTATTTATTCTGTCTTCGCTACGAATAATAATTTCTCTAGAACAGTAACTCTCCTATAATTGTCACTTTGATTTCACAGCAAGTGGGACAACGAAACACTTACACTCGATCGAACACACTACCAGATCGAACTTTTATTATGAGAATTGTCCTTTTGGTTTACCATAGCACAGGCTCTGCCTAGTTTGAGATCAGAGATGAGATCAGGCCGTGTATAAATTATTAATAATAAAAAAGTTCCAGGAGTTCTGTTTCATGAGGAAAATATCTAGATAAGTCATTTGTAGAATAGGATCTTGAAACTTACAATTTTTTAAAATTAATAAATTAAAAATAATTTTATAATAATTAATTTTTAGGAAGCGTCTGTGATGTATTTTGTACACAGCGATTGCTTGCCAGCGCTTGGGCTAAGCATAAGCGTTAAGAACGAAAGTGAACGAAAACTTTATGCTATTGCGGTCGTCGAGTCAAAAGAGTTCTGTTATGCAAAGAGGGTAAGATCTTTTGGTTTGGATTTTAAAGTATAAATGTGAATATTGTGTTAGAACTTAATTTCGGTGGTGTCGTTAACAAAAAAAATAATTGTAAACGGCAACCCCAGTGGTGTGGTTCAGTGGTGTCGTTTATAATATACGAAATAAAAAACTATATTTTGACATAATTATAATAGCATTTGACAAATTAATGATATTATGTATTAGTATTATTACTTTATTTAACTATACTGTATGTTGCAAGTTTCTAGATAACTTTTACTAAAACTTGTTAGAATATGATGAATTGAAATCGTTTTTTTAGAATGGTAACCGGTACGGAATGCCCCAGGCGTCCCGCTTCTATCGCGTCCGCGTGTGTCCACCCGAGGAGCCGATGCCAGTACCTCCGTGCTGCGAACACAAACACCGCTCAGGTACTCTCGCACTCCTTGCATTGGTTGGGGGGTTTGGGAGATGTCTTGCGTTCCATCATTGTGACAGTTTTTAAGTAAAATTTATTGTTGGTAGTGCTTGCAGCATAACTTCGCTTCAAAGTATTTTTTAAATATTATTTGACTATTCGAATCCATATATTCAGTTCAAACAAATTTTCTTAAATAAATATCACAGTGCTCTACAAAAAGGTTTTTAGTCCTACAAATTGGGCAATTGTTGTCCATAATATAAGATACTAGAACATGTGACCCATTTAGTAAATACCTTTTAGTATGCAATAATTAAGTTCACTTTATTAGTGCGTAGCGATTGCTTAGTGCCCTGCTTACGGACGATAGAATTCGGGACACCGCATCTTAAAGCAAATAACTTCACAACACATATTTTGTTTGATAAAGTTTAAACTTTAGACTTGAAGATAGTATAGTCTTATTCCGTTTTATATAGTAACGTATTAGCACCCTAGGCTATGCAGGTGGAGAATTTATCGTCAGTTATATGTAAATTTATTTTTATAAACTATATGTTGTAAAGTTTATTCAATATTTTTATTGAATAATGTTCTACATAAATAATTAAGTATTTATGATTTCCAAGCTTTTATCGAAATTGTTTTTGTTAAAAACCTCATTTCCATTTTACAAGTTCTTTTAGGGCCAGTCGCCTGGGCATTGAATATTATTCATATGGAATGGGATCTCGAAGCCATATTTTCGTCCTGTGATCCGAAAGGACCAACTAGTTCGACAGAAAAATCATCTGTGCTAGTTGGTTTTTTGTCCTAGTGAGTCCATTTTTTTTTAGTAAAACTAAATCCCTATTTGATAAAAATGACCCCAGTCTAATATCAGGGTTCTCTTAGCTGAAAGTATAGTAACCTTGATGAGCTGACCTTAAATTACTTTGCTGCTACTTATTAGAATCAGATTGACGTAAGTTTTAAAAGAATGCGGTGTGCCTTATATCGTTCGCGGCTTTATACGTACATAAGTGTAAATTATGATAGTCATTATATATGAGCTTAAAATGTAAAAACACACTACTGCTACTACTTTCTACACTATTGTCCTTTATTAAAGTATTCGCAATATTTACTCACATTACGTAATTAGGACATATGGGCAAATGTAGATAGAGTACTGTTTAAGGGCATTTAAATAAATCGGTCGCTTTTATCATTGCCACCGATTTAGTAAATACATAGGTGGGTCAAAAAATTCGCGGAATGGGCGGTATTTTGAGGAAAATGGGCACTTCTTTTTTACCTGCAATAGTTGTGATACTGATTAAGAGTATAAATACGAAGATTCATAAAAATCTGGTCGTTATTCACTAAGGTATAACTGTACAATAAACAAGTTAATCCAGGCGAAAATTTGAAACATGGAGAAAATTTAATTTTGTGCAGTCATCAAGTTCCTTACCAAGCAAGGAAAACCTCCTCAGACTATTTTGGAAGAGACGTCTTTTTTTTTATGTGAGAGGGGGCTGACGAGCAGACGGGTCACCTGATGGAAAGTGACCATCGCCGCCCATGAACGTCTGCAATTGAGGTGTCACAAACGCGTTGCCGGCCTTTTAGTGTCTTCTGTTTATGGGTACCCTTGTCCTAGTAAAACCATGGTTTACAAGTGGCAGACCCTCTTCAAGTAAGGCAGGGATTTCATTGAAGTTGTTCCGAGGCAGGGGCGGCCTGTCGAGACGACCACGGCAGAAATGGTTGACAAACTTGAAAAAATCACATTGGAAGATGCCCGTTTAAAGACAAAGCTATATAGCAATGTCAAAGATGTGTGCAAGGTGGGTGCCGAGAATGCTCACGCCACACCAGAAGCAGCCGCGAGTTGAGTGTTGTTTCGAGTTTTAGGCTCTCTGTGGTGAAAACAAGGACGGAGTTTTAGGTCAGATTATGACTGGAGATGAAATTTGCCTTCATCATTATGAGCCTGAGCCCAAATAGAACTCCATGCTGTGGCACAAAGGGGCACACTACCGCCGAAGAAATTCAAAGTGTTTTCATTGGCTAGAAAACTCACGGCCACTGTTTTCTGGGATACAGAGTTAATCCTTCTTATTTACAACAAAGAAAAGGGTATCAATATAACTGGAGAGTACTACGCTTCACTACTAGAACGTCTGCAAGATGTTGTGAAGGAGAAAAGGCGATGAAAATTGATCAAACGCGTGCTTCTTTTGCACGACAATGCACCCGTGCATAAGGCGCAAGTTACGGTGGCAGCTGTACAAAGAGTGGGCTTCGAAATCTTGTCACATTATCTGATTCTCGACTATTATCTGTTCCCAAAAAGGAAATAAATTTTCCAACGATGAAGAGGTGAAGAGCACAATTTCGACGATAAAGGCAAAGCATTTTTTCAAAGGTATATAAAAATTAATTGATAAATGCAATAAATGTATCAGAGTTAGGGAGAATACATTGAGAAGGAAAAATACTTTTGCGTTTAATTCTTAGTTTTTACCCTCCATTTCCCGAACTTTTTGACCCACCCTCGTACATTTGAATTTTTCTTTTGACATTTTTGTTATCTCATGGCATTTCCGTCTGTAATTTCAATGTGTGTATAAATACTAGAGGTATAAAAAAATATTTGTTTTATTTAGTTGTTTTCATTCTATATCTGATTGACTATAAACCAACAACTCATTGATGTGCGTCTGCGCAATTGCAGATGTATCTGCAATGAAGGGCGGCGTGCTGCCCGTGTTGCGTGACACCCGCCCGCTCAAGAAATGGTTGACCTACATGCATGCTCCAGGTCGTTGCTTATTTCTCTTCATCCTACCTCTTGTAGGTTATCGTTTCTCAAACATTTATGTTTCCTGCCTAGTGTACCCGTATAAAACGTTATAAAGAGTCATGTTTCAGGAACGATATCTATACAGCTAAAATACCTTCATAATTCATTTGCTTAGTTTTGTTTTGCTTAACTCTCATTTGTGTCCAAAACATTCGCCATTACTGACTGATAATAACGATATACCTAAAATATATATTTATAGTACTAAAGTGTGCCATACTTACTCCCTAACATCTCCTGGGTTTAACATCTCCTGGGCTAAGGATAAGGTTAATCTTAAAAATAAAACATTATCGTGAGCACGGTACCTGTCAATTTGTATTTTTTTTGAACATTTTATTTATAAAAACAGTATGTATACGTTTGAGTAAATCTCTTCAACAGATTCGAAAAAGTCGGTAGATACAAGTCAGTCGACTAGTTCAACAACTGAGCAAAATGTCCGAGCGCCTGAAGTAGCTACTGCCACCCTTATAAATTTGGAGTCACCCACTTCACCAGTTGAAGCTCCCCCGGTTGTAGCTTCTACTTCGCAATCTGAAGATCAACTGGATTCGATCGAGACTAGCGAACTATGGCAGCATACCAGGATGCACCTTTCTTCAGTTAGTGCAGTGTGAGTGTTCCGGAAGACAGTTAACTTATTTCTAAGAAACATTTTTATGGGTCGTTGTGCAAAAGCGAGTCTAATTCAGAACGAAAATCACTCATTAGAGTAAGGTTGATTTGTAGGTTTAAAATATTATATTTTGTCTGATCTCTCTGTCATTGTAACATCTGAAAGTATATTTAATGTTTAATGTCTTCGAATCATCGTTAAATATACATGATTTGGCAATACCTGATACGTATGACGTCACACCAGTATTTCATAGAAAATGACAAATCATCATTTATAGTTTTGACGTAACAAAAAGATACTGATCTGACTTGACAGTCATCTTTATTACACTAATATATTAGCGTGGAAGGTCTTTTAGTTCTTCCTTGCTCCTCTTCTTTCAGTTATCTTGGGTGACTGTCTAGAGGAGGCTCTTTATGGTGCATCGTGAGCGACAAAAGTGATGCTCAATTCCTTTGGAAAGGAGGAATAAAACCCCATTTCTCGGTGCACTCTTTGAGTTGGAAACGAAATTATTTTTTAACTGTAAATTTATTTATGTAATTTACGTATTGTACTTTTCAGCACCGACATGGAAAGCAGCGTGGGACGATTTTTGGGAGCGGAACCGCTGGAGCTGACCGTCAGCGCTGTGGCCGTGGTAGCGCGCGGCGACGACTCGGCCGCCTCCGAGATGGCCGAGGAGGCCTCCCCTTGACACACTAGTGCCCCCCACTTCAGCCACGGGAACTGCGGAAAGTGATAGACGGTGGATTTTATTTATAGGATAGTGTGTACTTGTGGTGGCGGGTTACGGGTTCTCGCCACTTCTTATCGAAGTTGTGATCGTTAATTACGTCGCCAGGAATTGTTTGAAAGCTGAATCGGTGCGTGTGACTTGAGTGAACTTTCATCGTCAATTCCAGAGCCTCGGATCGTAGATCTCCGCGGTCCCGTCGAGCGAATTCCGAGCATAAATAGAGGTGTCTTCCTCCGTTCTATTCTTTAGTGGGTTGTTATGATGTCATGTCCAACGAATCTGTAAAAGGCGTCGATCGCTCAGTCTCATCGTAATCCCCCTGTCTCCCTATATTTCTCTGTATTTAAAATAAATATAGTAGAAATTGCAGTCTTCGATTCCCTTCGCCGAACTTCTACATGTCGATCGAAAGGTGATTTTTCTCAATAGTACAAATTTGTTTAGTCGCGTTAAAGCTTTACATGATATTATGTTGCAAATATACTTACTTTATATTTTCTCAATGTTGTGTGTTGTTTTAGTTTCTATATTATAATTCTTATGCGTCATTTATTTTCTTATACATATATACCGTATATCGGTAATGTATGTAAAATTGTTGGTGATAATCGATTCATATTCTAGCACAAAGAATGATATATTTGATTTCGATCGTCGCTTTATTCACCAAATATGTGTGTGCATATTGTGTCTAATAGCTAATGTGTCTAAATACGTCTAGCGTCACATTTTCCTTAAGATTCTCCTACCTATAAGTCCTATCTTGATAACTAAGTCATAGTGATTATTTAGTATAGTCTGTACTAAACAAATTTGATCAAAGTGGAAACAATTGTACACACTAACCATACTTAGATGATGACAGTACTTACTTTCAGAGGGCCCAGTGTGAGTTCATGTCAAATCGGTCATCACGGCGACTGGGTTCGGCGTTGCGATTGGTGAAGAGTTCAGAGGCCCAAGTGTAAGTTTGTTTCACATCTACTCAATCACTGTGACCGCGTTCGGCGTTGCGATTGGCCTGTACTGAAATCTTCACCAATCGCAACGCTCTCGCTGTTGAGAGCGAATTGATGTGAAATACACTTGCACTAGGCCCCCGCAATTAAATAATTCGGAACACAGCGTTTATACAAAAACACATTTGTTACAAGCGTTTTGTTTTCGAAACTTAATTGCATTATCTCTAAATGGTTAGTGTAAAAAAGCCTTTTCAGTGATTGACAATCAGTGGAAACGTCTAAAGAAATAGATTGTTTACATTTTAATGAAATTTGCCGTGAACAGAGTATAGAACAGGTGTTCCTTTTAGGAATTTCTCTTATATTTGTCGGTAGGCTTTTGCAATGTTAACGCTTTAACACTCGATCTCGCCCATACTTGAATTTGAAACCGTTAACAGATCCCTTTAGTATAGACACTTACAATATTAAGTGAACTGTTCGCAATTCTAGCTCATTCCTTATTTCGAGCAAGAAAAAGGATAAAGAATTGTAAAATAACGAGGCACAGACACTTGCGTCCGAAAATTGTTTCAGCCTTCCAAACATTAAATTCGTTCGAAGCGCAAATTATAGTGTTATTGTAATATAAGAGGACATTGCTTCAGGTTAAATTTGTTTGTGGCCTTATTATAAATGGCGCCCGTTATGGGGCTCCCGGTGTCTCCAACCTTAGTTCCACGGAACCGAACTAGGTCCGTCGAACCACGGTTAGTGACACTCAGCGGCTGTTGCCGCCTGCTGTGATAGTCCGTGCTGTGCTCTCCTTTTCTCTTACGAACGCTTTTGTCGGTACAACACGTTCATATTTGTGTAATTACTGAGTTAGGGGCCTATTGTAAGTGTATAATTCATTGCGAACTTAAGCTATACAAACTTTTTGTACCGGCAAATGCGTTACGAAAAATTGCCCCTGTTAAGCAATATTCAAATGTTATTGATGATGACGTTACGATTTTTTTATTTCTTATAGCGTTTAATATACTCGCCATTCATGTCAATCAAATCATTCTTCGTTATGTGGATTCTCAGTATGTTGGTATGAGACTACAGACATGATGTAGTGATCTGGAGTATATTGTTATATTTAGAGTCTAAGGGTTGCATCACATTAAGTCGCTGATATTGACGCATTGTTTGCTGCGTTATTCTACATTATTAAACTGTGTCAATTAGCGATAATAATGTGTTGACAACTGATACATCGAGTGGTGATTGCGCCCCTTGCGCAATATTCGGGCTGAATATGGAGTCAGATCGGACAGGGTTGTTGTCACTACTGGCAGCTATTCAGTGCACTGGTGACCCGAATAATGTGTTTGTTAGGACTCTCCGACAAAATCTTTGTGTAAATATTTGTTTGAGTCGTTTTTAGTACTCATAATTGTGTCGAATTTAAATTAAGTTTTTTTGATGATTGGATATCGGCCAAAGTCATGTTCGTTATAAGAGTTGGCTGTCACGATTAAATTGGTACATTGGGGTTTTTTGAAATTAGAGGAGTGTGGCTTATATTCGGTTTTTTGATGCGGTGAGGATAAATCGTGTACTTTTATTTGTGCTGGACGCAAATATACTCTTTTATAATGAACTAGATTTGGTTTACATTGCGTATACAAAGTAAGGTGTCACGGTGTTTTTTTAATGTTCTGCAATGCATAATAAATCGTGCGATCGCTTAACGGACTATTTTGTAGTGACCAATTTTATCATTAGAAAATAAAAGTTGTAAAATTGACAATTTAAATGTAATTTTTATATACAATAAATAGACGATTTTATACAAATTGTTTTTTATTTTCTCACATTTCAGATCAATTCTTAAGATCATGATAGGAACATAAAGTCATAAAACTATGTGAATCTTAAATACAGATTTAACAACTTATAGCTACTTAACAGGCGTCTGAAACGGTTTACCCAATCCAATATTTTGATGTAAAACATTTTTCAAAGCAAAAATAAAACATAAAGTTGGGCAGAGACAATGTTCATATTTTAAAATGAAAAAATATTGTATGTATAGGTTGGTAATGTAATTCACTTCCATTGGAAGCCTTGACACAGGATGGCCAGTAGTAATAAAATAAATTTGATTATAATTCGGTGGAACGCGACTATTCGAGTTTTACTGAATAGGTGTCGTCCATTAATCATGTGATGTTTTTAGCAAGTTTTTAATAGCCCGTCATCATCATAATCATCATTGAAAATATATTTATTAGGTAATTGATAGAATCATAGCCATTTAATACTAGAAAGAAGTGCCCTTTTTCGGTGTCGAAATCGCGCATTACAAAAAGTACTAACATGTGATACCTTTATAAATGAAATGTAAAAAGTCCTCATCGATCCGACACCTGCAAAAAATATTGGTCACCAAAACGGGTTTTTCGCGATTTTCAGCAAAACTAAGTTTTATCATAACCCAGACAAAAATTGTAGATCAGATAATTATCTATAAAAAATGTTTTATACTTTTTTGATAAGAGCCACCGTTTTTGAGACATAACGATTTAAAAAGTTGAAAGATCGTTATAATATGCACACGTTTCCACGCCACTTTTGAGTGTGTACTTAGTACGAGTAGTAGTAGTGTACTTAGCGCGTTTTTTTTAATGTGGTTTACCCGGTAGGCCTATTCCACTGATCTGTGTTCTCTTTTTAAAAACTTCAGCATATTGCACTAAATCTTGTTTTTCAAACATTTTAAAAACAGTTGTTTTACCCCTCCTGAAAAATGCAGATGCCGTCTTTTTGTTGTACTCTTTCAACTTTTTGAATTGTTATATCTCAAAAACCTCTAATGTCTAAATTGACCGAACTATTAAGAATGTAATAAAAGATATAGAATATAACCTTTCCTTTTAATTTTTCATATCAGTACTCAGCTACTTTATCACATACTAAGAAGTACACGTTCCACGTGCTAGCACTGCAGAATCGAAGCTGTCATTATGCATTTTAAGGGGCATACAGTATATATTTGTGGAAGATATAATCTTTGTCGGAACTCTAAAATAACTTTAAAAGGACTTTTATACAGTAGGAAGTAGCAGTTCCAATTTCCCTACTTGGAGAAATTCTGATTCCGATAGCAACATTACGTGTGCGTTAGTGTGTAACATTACGTGTCGTTGAGCGTAAATGCGCGTGACTTACGCCTACATCAATTGTGATTTTGCCTCAAACTCGTTTTTTTTGTTATGAAACTATTGTTCCATGAGTTATTATTCTAAGGTTTGTCCCATGAACTGGGTAAACCGGGTAAACCGTTTCAGACTCACTTCTTTCTTCACTTATATTTACAAATCAACTACATCGAAGTATTGCCTATGTAAGTTAACAGACGTCGATGTCGTGTCGTTGGAGGTAAAAGCACAGTCGGAGTAATTCCAGGTGTGCATGTCTACATTCGTCTGAGAGTATTCCTGCCCGTATCTTAGGAACCTTTGTTCCTGTGTGTTCATTGGTGCCGAAGTTCTACTTTCAGTGGGATAGAATTGCGCTTCATCCATTTCTGGCGAGGTTCTAGTGTGTTCATTGGGATAATACTGGGCCCCTTCCGGGTAGTATGCTTGTGGAACGTACGGCTGTTCACAGTATGCCTCCGCTTGCTGATGACCACTACCCAGCAATTCAGGTGACGGCGTCTCACTAGACTCAGAGCCACCGGCCGGCCGTTGCCAGTCTAACCAGTAAGCTTCTTCTGGCCTGGAGTTTTCGCTATTGAGATCGGCAAATGTTAACGATGATTCCAGCGTATGTTCTTCTGCCGGAAAGTCTAATCTGATGGGTTGGTCTAGATGGAAGATTTCGTTGGGATGATACATTTCGTCTCCCGGCAAAGCAATGGGGTCGTAATGTTGGGCCTGTAGCGGTGGATCTTGAGGTGCAGACGGTGCATACGCATGATAAGACTGAGTGTTTTGTGGTGACCAAGCACCCGTTGCGTAGGTGTCTGCGGTTAGCTCGGGTCGCCAACGACAGGAACATTCGAATGGTCCACATGTGCAAGTCAATTGTACTGTTGAAGAAAATATTTTCGATTTAGTTTGTAAGTAGTAAATTAAACTAAATACTACTGTGGGAGTTATTAAAACACCAGTACAGCCTTCGAAATGTTAAAAGACGTTGATGAACTTTTTATATTTCTACTATTAATAGTATTACATACAGTATATTAAGTGGTACATATCTGTAGTACTTGTAGTACATGTGAAGTATGTTTAATTGGAACCCCTTATTACCTTTTAAAGTTATAATATTTGAACTACTACGTTATCAATGATACAGATGAACTCAGTATGTAGCTAGGTACGTCATATAGCATGACGGTTTAAAGGTTTGCAGTGGTAGGTACTTACCTCTTTGATTATCAGGTATGAGTGGAGGTGGTTGTGGATGTGCATTGTTCACATTCGGTTTATCAGCGTTCGTCGTCAGCATTTTGTCCGCCATTGCCGCTTCTCGAGCTAGCAACAATGCTAGTCCTCTGACTCTGCGTCCAGCTCCAAGGGAGCGCCGGACTTCACTTGCTCCTTTAGCTTCCGGTCGAGGGTGGTCGTGGGCCCCTTTCGCCTGGAAGAATATCGCATGTTCTGTGTGTCGCCAGAAGTGAGTGACTGGATAGCCGCAATGCCCGCGGCAGGGCAATACTTCTAGGCGTCCACCGTTGCACCCCCTATTTGGACAAGGTTTACCTGTTAAAGAAACATGCAGTTATTTTTTTTGTTTGTGTTACCTAATCAAACAATAAATTGATGGTATGGAGTTTTCTTTCATCGCTCTTTCTGTACTGTTATGTCTTCATATCAAATCTGTGTGACTTGTTGGGTCAAGTATCTAAAGGCAAAGACTATTAGACTATTGAGATTCAAGATGATAAACACTTAATTTTCCTGTTGTGTAAGGAACTTAAAGAATGGTTCTTCTTTGTCTTTTTTAAAGAACTCGCAAGGTGAAAAAATATGCTTGTGACGCAGGGAACTTATCTCTTAGAACAACTATTTATTGTTAAATCACAAAAATGCTAATCGTTCTAATTATGTTAGAACTGTCCTATTTTATATTAGTTAACTTTATATCAAAGTTAAGAGTAAAAGCGTTATATCTACTGTGTTGTAATAATTGGTGTAACACTAAAAGCAAATAATATTGTGAATAGTTTATTTTTGAAAACAATACCTAACAGGGATGGAGATCAGAATTAAAATTTAAATAACATCTTGTTAATAATATAAACATCAATTACCTTGTTGCTTTTTTCTGGCCTTATCACATATAGCAGGTCTTAGATGTATCCTAGACCCATCGGGGAGACGGCATCTTGCTGAACAGACTAGTACCCCTAAACAGCTTTTTTTTAATATGTGGACGTTGTGGTTGTTAGTATTCCTCATGGCCCATCCAGAAGCATGTCTGCGGGCCTCCTCGCAAGCCGGCGGATAAACACGACGGACATGCCCGTCGCACCATTCACCAAATGCGTCAAAATTGACGACGCGGGGAACGACCGCGTCGTTAATGTCCCAGTCTGGCGTTTGTCCTTCCGACATATCAGGTCTATTGCCGGTACTGTAAGGAAAATTGCAAAATTAGCAAAAGTACTGTTTTAAAAAACATAAAACACTAATCAAAAGATAAATATAGCAATAGAAGACTTAGGTAGGTAGGTATTTTACTCCATTAATTTAATTAGTTCATTTTGCAAATGACTTAGGAAAGTTAAATGGCAAATATCCTGATGGCGCAGAATGACGCTATTTTGTACAAAAATAGTTCTTTAAAACAATTTAATTTAATTTTCTGAAATATGTCTCGTATTCAAGATATACAGAAAGTCGAAATTCGACCATCAAGTGATCTCCAGTTACACTTAATAGCAATAATAGGAAGTCTCTAAATAATATTGACGTATTCTAAAAATTTGATTGAAGCATACCTATATTTTTTTGGTTTTAAGTAGGTACTTATGCCAGTACTTCGATATTAGTTGTTATCAATAAAGTACGAGTAAAAGTAAGTAAGTAAAATCGCAGAGAAAGCTTGTTTCCCCTCTTGCCTCGTTGAGCCAATTGCTTCAGAATTACTGTCTGAAGGGGCGGCCGCCTTAATTGGCCAAATAACTTTGTGTACATATCTACGCACGATGGAGTCGGTAAATAAGCGGACAACTTTGAATAGTCTCAGGCAACTTAAAAGGGGGAAGACGAACATTGGCAACTGCTTGACAATGCGATCGGATTTTATCCGTAATATTTACCTATTGAAGTACTTATTAACTATGAATATTTAAGATAATTTTATTTCTTTAATGTATCTTGTTGTTAATAATAAAAGATTATGCTCTTGTAATTTTCCTATATTAATTTTTGTACTTTAAAATATTTACACATTATTTCAGCTTGAGTAACTGCTTTAATATATTTTCTCATTGAAAACACACTCTGTGTCGAGGAGGGAACTTACATACAATTAACAGGCCCATAGTGCACCTCACTTACAACGATGATATATAAATTACAATAATTGTCATTTTACCCGTTCCTCCACACTATTCTACTTATATTTGGAATATGCTAAAATTTTTCATAGTTATATCAGACACCTAGTTTATAAAATCCAGGGAAGAGGGAATTCCTCGACAACTAAGGGGGTTGAAAGTGACTAACCGCTTAAGCGTGCAATAATTTCAATGGCTCTGCTTTGAACTTTGTCAGTCGAAACTAGTTAAATAGATTTTGGGAAAGCTGTTGATGTACCTACTAGACTACCAGCATAGAACAATTTGCTATCCAGTTTAGTGCAAAGGCATTAAGCGCTTGGTGTTTTATTGAACAGGAGAGTATTACTAGATACTTGTACATTTCTTTTCAGAGGAACTTTTGCTTCTTACTTCTTCTTCTTATTTCTTTCTTATATTAAACATCATTTTTATAACTACATATACTAAGTATCTATTTGTTGTCTTCATAATGTAAAATGTTGAAACAAAAAACATTTTGCTTGTGGTGTTTGCCTATAATGTTGTACAGTTAAGTTTAAGATACTTTTGTGTCTCATGTATGTTCCTATCTGTAACGACTGTTGGGGAATCTTGATAAATAAGAAAAACACATATTCGTATTAAAGACTACTTGCCAAGTAGCTCCTGCCATTAAAAGTGCGTGTCTGTTGGAATATTTCGATGTAATTTAAATAAACTAGTTGCTTAATGTACCAACAAAGCAACGTCACAGTTTCAATGAGTTTCAATTAGAATCAATTGAGCACCCTACAGCACCTTCCACAACCCTCGCCGGTTTGACTACTTATTACACATTTATCGCCTGTTTCACTGTACATTTAGTTTATACTACTTACAAATAACTATTATACTTAGGTATTTGTTTTCGATTTCACGAATACATCAGTTAATGGTAGGTAAAAATAAACGGTCAATGCGTAATATACTTTAATTAAGGAACATTTATTTCTTCCACTTTACCTACTTACCTAATTTTAGATTTTATAGTTGACATGATATTTAAAAAGTTTTTGTGTACAGGTACTAGCTAATTATATAATAGTAACATTAAAAATAAGTAATTCATAATAAATAAATAAAACCGTCTAAAAATTTTTGTACATGGTCACCTACTGGTAGCGTTCCCAAAACGCTAGCAGCATTGTCTAGTTGAGTGGTAATGCTAATTCTCTGTGCTACCAAAAGGCCCTCCTTCTGGTAACGAGAATCTTTATAAGTAGAAAGAGCACTCGGACTCGTCGTCGTCGTCAAATGATTAAAAAACATATGTGTTATAAACATGTATTTTTAACAGTCCAGTTTTAACTATCAGTGTGGTGACGGATTAAAAATACAGAGTGTCACCACCCATATTCATACCGTGGATGTCGTAAGGGCTGACTAAAGGAGCAAACTACGCAGGAAAAGACTGCACTACAAAGAGAAGGAAAACTTAACACAAACCTTATACCAACCCGTCAGGCCAGCGTGGTATAGTAGGCCAAAACCTCATTTCTAAGGAGAGGCCTATGTCCAGCAGTGGACTATTAAAGGCTGTTGATGTGATGTGATGATGATGTATTTTAAACCTACATCAGGCACCAGTTTTTCACAAAGGTGGAATTCGGAAGTTGAATGACTACTGTATTATTTGTCTGAAGGCAGCCATTTGTGAAAAGAGAAGAAACTTTATTTATTTATTACTTTATTATATGTTTATGAATTACAATTCCGCTATTAGTAAATATGTGATAAAAACAACAATTTGCTTGTTAATGATTCTACGATATACCTTCCTTCATTTCCAACTTTCTAAGCATACTTAGGTTTTATATTTTCATATATTTATTTATCACTTTATGCACAGTGAGAACAATGGCGGACTTAATGCTAAAAGTATTTTCTGCCAGTCTATTTTTGGACGGTCTAGAAATGAGTAAGAAGAGTACGTGCATAGTGCATTAGAAAGTACCTATATGAGAGTGACGGATAGACAAAAATATTGTAAAAATAGTATAACTTTTAATAATATATTTTTGAATACTTACACGGCAAAGGGAGATATGTTTATATAGACGTTAACACATGTTGTATCCTTTGTTATATACACTGTATGTTTTCCGAACAAAATAAAATAAAATAAAAATAAAATAAAAAATAGATAGGTATTATAAAAGAGCCTGCAGAAGGGCAGAATCTTCATTGGTTTTAATTTGTAAATGTATTGACTATTGAGGGATAGTTATATATCAACAGCCTTTAATAGGCCACTGCTGGACATACGCCTCTCCTTAGAAAGAAGGTTTTCGCCTAAATATATACACTTACAATTAAAGCTACTCAATAATATCATTCAAGTTATAGGATGTGAAACTAAAGCTATTTAAACTGATTACCATAGTGAAATGTATAAGGCTCGTGGACTGAATCTGCGTTGAGGGTAGATATTGGTTTCGATTTGCAGATTATTTCGATTTGCAGATTATCGTTATTATTTGTGTGTAATTTACTTAGTATTTATTTATTATTGTGTGTAATTTATTTATATTTATTACTAATTGTATGTTTGTAAGACGTATTAACAGTGGGTAATTTTACAGCTAAGGTTTAAATAAAGTTAAATATAGTCCGTAAAACATAACTCGATACTGCTAACAGCTAGAACAAATCCGACGACTTAACTTTGAACCGACGTCGTAATGACACTTTCATTTTACAAAACCGGCAATCACTATTTTTCAATAATATACTTAGAAAGGCTAAATATATTTTATTAATAAATACTACCTGATTCTTGCCTAAAATCGAAACATAAAACTTATTTTTCATTTTACAATCTTTCATTTGATTGTTTTGATACATTAGTATCAAAACAATCAAATGAAAGATTGATGCTAATCGATTCATCTTATCCCTATATTATTGTACCATTGTAAAACCATTGTAAAACCATGATTAAATTTAATAATAATTCTAATGATAATAGATTATTAAGATTAGGTAATCCTAATCTTAATAATCTATTATCCTAATCCTACTCTTAATACAATAGCTATTTTTTTGGTTTTGGTTTTTATTTACTGTTCGCTTAGGTCTTATACTTATATGAAGATAAAATCATGTTCTGTAACAGTTTGATAATTTTATTTATCTGAATTTATGCACCTAAACCTATATAAAAATACGCATTCTTAAGTCCCATTTACACATAGTAAAGGAGATTATAAGTATGAAATTTGACATACAAAATAATTTGTTGTTCGCTTGTGTCATCTTGAATGCGAGAACCAAAATGGTAGACTGCCGTTGCCTTAGTGTGTTTTCACACAGCCGAATGCCAGCTATGACAAATGCATCTAACCTTGCGGCATAGGGCGAGCGTAAGCCACAGTAATGCAGAAACATACGAAATAAAATTATTCAAGCTAAATAAACAAAAAGATCATCAACAGTTACTGGTATTGATGATTTTACGATGGCTGTTATACGAAATTACAATGGGTACGCGTACAATGCGGCTGTTGATGATAGCGTCATTAGTAAAAGTAAAAAAAATGGATTTGCGTTTTAAATAGTGACAAAATAAATATTATGATGGAACACACTGATATAATATAGCTCTGGTTCAAAATGAATTTTGAAATAAATTTAAAAAAAATAGCCAACCACACTGCGTCCATGTCATGGACAGATGACAAGGCTGAGTCAACCACTAAAGTGTCTGAAGGAAAAGGACAAAGGCTCATTCATTGCGCATGCTGGTACTTCGTCAGGGTTCTTATTAAATCCACAAGAACTACCGAATACCTCGAAGAAATGATTTTTGAAAAATTTGAAGAGTAATAATAATAACAATATTTTATTGTTTTAGAGTTTTTGACAAATCTTATCAACTTAAAAGTAAAGTAAACTTATCAATATACCAAGCGTGTCCTATTAGTTGCCTGCGTTGCTGAACTAGGTTGGAAACCTGTGCTTCAGCATACGGCGCCTCTATCTTTCGGTAGGGGTTTCAGAGTACATTAAAATTCCACACATTTGGTTTCAACCACACGTACGTATATGTTATTTAGAGTAACATTATCTATAAAAAAGTTCATAACATAACTTATAAAACTACTGTGATGTAATCGAATAGGTAATCTACCAGTCTTAGTAAGACTTTACTACGAAAAAATACACTTCGAGAGTAGATCGGAAGAATTATGAACGGATTAGCTTTTATTACGAGAATCGACTCTCAGGGAGACTGGGAATGAGAAGTACAGTTCGGTTTAGTTTGTGATCAACAATTCATAATTAGTCTGCATGATTGTTCCAGCAACGACGACTGAAAAAGATGTTTTGGGTTGTACGAATTAAGAAAAGTAATCTTAAAATATCTACTTACTTGTTATTTTATTATCTACCTATACAAATTCGTTTTTTTATGCTCACACGGTTATTTGCACGATACCTATGCCTAAAAACCAGTTTAATTTGTTTTTGTCTGTCTGACTGTTTGTTTCAAATAATCTTCTAAAAGGCTGTACCGATTTTGATAATATTTTACTACCAGATAGCTGTCTATGTAAGGAGTAACTTAATTTTTACTATTAGAAAAACCATTTAAAATTTTGCCCGGTCCAGGTGTCGAACCCACTAAGGCAGCGCTTTTAAAATTTGACGCGACTTAAGTCGCGGGCACCAGCTAGTAAACCTGTAGGTAAATTTAATAAAATGTCATCAATCGATTAGGTACAGTTTATTCATTGATCGTTTTAGCCATTTATGTCATATCACTAGTCATTGTTCTGTGACATCTGTCTGCCTGTAATTTACATATATGTGACTTCTGAATGAAAAATAAGCAAAGCGATTTATTAGTTTTATATTATAATGTGTGGTTACTTTTTAAAATTTTAATTTATTGTAATTTTTTTATTGTTTTTAACTGTTCTTATTAAAATCCTATAAGAAAAAAGTTAGTTGTTATAAGTCTATATATAGGTACTTGACAAGTACCTACGTTTTATGACAACTTTCAATATTCCTAATTATTTTTAGAGATTTTAGTCACTGCACATTGTGTACGAAGACAAAAGTAATACCGTTCCGTACACATAAAATTATAGAATAAATAAATATTCAGGATGGGTGGATATCTGTTGGATTGATTAATAAAATTTAGATTAAATATATAATAAAATTTAGATAGATTAATAAAATTATAATCTACCTATTTCATGTTCATAGTAGTTGTACCTACCTACCTACCTACATAGGTAAAATCATGAAGAATAAACTCTAGTTAAAAAAGCTTTCTAACCGGCTAAGAAAATGAATAATTTATATCTTAACAAAGTTATATGACCTAAAGTAAGTTAAAAATACAAATAAAGAAACAGTACTTACACGATGACCATCTCCGAAATGATGCAAACACACAATCACAAGACAGGAATTTTGTCCAGGTATAACTCACACAGTCCGCTAAAACTACCGCACTGATAATAATGAATTGTCCCGAGAAGTAGGAATGTCAAATTGTTTGTATTACACATGTACACGCGACGAAAGCTTACAGCTCACTACGTAAAATCAACCAAAATAAACATAGGGATGATGGGTCCCTCCACGGCGCAGAGTGGGGATGGAGCTCGGCCAATCGTACGCAACCACTACAAAGTTCCCGCCTTCCGACCAATGCTGGACTAGAGGGATTCACCAATAGCGCAATTTCGAAATGTTACGTTGCTCTTTTTCAGGAAAATACGTGGATTTTCAGTGAGCTGCCATTTTTAGAATATCGTTATCGGTATAATAATGAAACGAATTTTGTTTGCTAATTATTTTATCGGTTTTTGGAATGGTGAATGTATTGATTTTTTTTTGTAATTGTTACCATTTGTTGTTTTTTTTAGGATGTAAAGAATATGATATTTAAAATTTTAACTGGTTTGATTTCATATTACCTACACAAATAAGTTCAGTAATTCAGAGCGGCGCACGGAAAAAGGTTTAGGTAATAGGTATGCGTGGACTGCTAATCCTTTTGTCTACCTTTATAGAGTTCTGTCGACCCTAATAACTAACACTAACAGTTAGTAGTAGTTTATTTTAAATTTATTTATTTAACACTTAAACTATATAGGTACAACATAACATGATTAGTTTTTGGTACTGACCACCAATAAGGTTTACAGTAAGGACCGTTAGTTCATGTGCAGAAAATAGTCAACACATAAAGTGTTTGAGTGATACATTTCGATATAAAATAGCAAAAATAGTAATACTAGCTAATATAGCTTAGCATACGAGTATATACTATAGACAAATATACCTATTTACCTGTGGTTGTGTAGTTCATTTAGAAAATAAGACCTGAGTTTATTTTTAATATTATTCGTGTTGAGGTTGTTACGTAAATCAGTGGGTAGTTTGTTAATCAAACGAGGAAGGAGGTAGGCTATAAGGTATCGGTACTCTTTATCTTCAGCGTTCTGCAGGGGCTCTTACATTATTACTGGTTGTATCGTGGCCGTCTATCTAGGGAAATACCCCTAGATAGGCGGCCACGATACAACCAGTAATAACCTAATTAAAGTAGGTAGGTACTATATTTTATTAACAAACTAGGAAGGACAGATGTGAGAGAGTATAAAAATGATAAAAATTTGAATTTAGATAGGTATTATATAGGTACTGTTAATCAGCGTGACATGTTTTATTTTGGTATCGGTTTAAGTTAAAGCTACATACTTAGGTACGTATATTTACTTAGGTAGGTATATGGACATATTCGTTCACTTATGATTCATTTGAGTTTTTTATGTTAATAAATTTAGAAAGTTTTATTTTTATTTATTTTTTATATTAGAGGGGGCAGACGAGCAGACGGGTCACCTGATGGAAAGTGACTATCGCCGCCCATGAACGTCTGCAACTCAGGAGTCGCAAATGCGTTGTGATAAATGCGTTGTAATAATAGTGTGAATATCTCAAAGCGCCACCTCTCTATGTTTTAGGTTTTCATAGTTCATAAAATTAGGTCGATTCAAACCAACAGCTTCCTAATATTTCTTAAAAAATACATAGGTATACAGAATAAAAAAGCAGGTAAGTAGGTACATAAAGAAAACGCTAGGGATATCCAATCCCAAATATATATTTCACTAATACTGTACACAGACAGAAAAACAGAAAGAAAAACAGATTTAAATTTTATTTACCATTCAAGTTTTAATTTAAATTAAGCTGCTTTACTGTTCTGACTTCTAAACTTCTCGCTATTAATTCGACGTGTGTAGCAAATAGCTCGCTTGCCATCACAGCTTTAAACGACCATGATCCTAGATGAGAAGAGACGCTAGCTTTATAATGTAATGTACTTATGTGTTTATTGATTAATACAAAAATATATTAATTTATTCTCTTTACACAGCGCATAACAACATCTAAGTGCGCTCAGATAGTACCCACATTAAACATAAACATATATATAAACATGACCCATAGATTAAATACAGAATAATAAAAGAGATAAAAAAATATAAAAAGTAAATACTAGATACTAATACGAAAAAAGTCGTTTCCTCTTTTCCTATTTAGGCCCATGTTAACATGACACATTGTATTTAAACGTAAAGGAAAACTTTTCGTATTTACTAACTACATAACAAGTCAAGCTTTGAAATTTATAGGTGAAGTCATCATTATCATCATGAACAGCCTTTACTAGTCCACTGCTGGATATAGGCCTCTCCTTAGAAAGGAGGTTTTGGCCTACTATACCACGCCGGCCAGACGGGTTGGTATAGGGTTTGTGTCAAGTTTTCCTTCTCTTTGCAGTGCTGTTGTCCTGCGTAGTTGGCTGCCTTAGTCGCTTGTAGGTGAAGTGGTGATGAGCTACTTAGATTGTATTTTTGCGAGACGGTGAATAGTTTGCATTAGATATTGTGTCCTATAGTTAAGTTTTCTATGTTGTTTTCCTACCTGTAAGTGGCGAGATGCCTAGTCCTGAGATCTATACCTATGTTTGTAATTATATTGTAATAGTGGACTCGTCGTTTGTGGCCTAATAAATAAATAAACTGCAAAATTTATCAGCCCATAAGTAATTTGCAAAAAAGTGGGAACTGTACCTAATTACCCTGTACAACCTGATCAGAGAATAAATTTTTACGTTGACCAGGTTTCACATATTTTTAACGTAGTTTCCAGCAGCTGCAATAGCCAATGGCCATATACCGAAAGGAACATGATATAGGTAACTGCAATATCAAGATGTTAAGTAGCATTGTACTATAAAATGAGGCGAGGAGGGCGCACGATGCGGGCGCGCACGTTACGCACGACAAATGAAAAAACTGCGACGCGTGCGCAGGGAAAGCTGCTTTCGCACGTTATTTCATAGATACAAATAATATATCATGAGAAAATGTTTTCACATTTCAAATATGAATTGATATAGGTCTTTAGGTACGCTTAATAAATAAGTTATCGGTGTTTTTAGGCTTCCGTATCTCAAAAGGAAAAACGGATCCCCTTTAGAATCACTTTGTTATCCGTCTGTCTGTCTGTCCGCCTGTCAGAACCCTTTATCTCGGGAAAGCGTGGAATTATCGAGTTGAAATTAAAACGTATAGTATACCCAGGTCTATAGTTCCTTGAAGCTGTGAAAAAACCTAATACTATAAGTACAGGGTAAAATCTGAAAACTATACATTATTTCATCATATCATCGAGGTATAATAATTTCAATTATAAAACAATAATATAAGCAATTATAGGTTTTGGAAACTGAATTGCAGTAAAACCACAAATTTGTACGGAACCCTCGGTGGACGAGTAGCACTTCTCCGATTTTTTTTATGTATAAAATCTCCCTAAATGATGTTTACTTAAAAGCTTTAACGATTGTTCTACCAAAATAATATACCTAGGACTAATAAGGAAGTATCCATTATTTATTGTTTAAAAAGTTGAAGGATTGTAACTGTAAAATTGTTTTTGCAAAAAGGTAACTTGTAAAAATTTACCCTCAGAAAAGAAAAACGGCAGTAACCCTTTGATCTAGTATTTTAGTAAAGACTTACAATATTTTTCGCAACAAAGGGACACACACACACATTAGCACCTTTGTTTTTTAATCTGGACCCGTTATAGTGAAGATATATCTAATACTTTGTTTTTTAAATGCTCCTTTACTCTATTCAACGGCGATGTCACTCTTCATTTGGTAGGTTATTCATGTAACAATGTGTTCCTATTATGTATGGGTAATTACATTAGGATTGGTTTACCAGAACAATTACAGTGATGACATTAACGAAATAAAGAATTTGTAAGCCACATGATTCTCTGACTGAGTCTAGAATGTACGAGTAGTATTCTGTTATAAGTAGGTAATTGGTTTAAAATTAATTATCTTATTTCTGATATCACTTTCTCTCTTGCAATAGGGTAGATGACTGTCGAGTCAAATCAGTTTCATGTTTATACGTCAAAACGTCAGACGCGGTACATTTTTGTATGAAATACTATTTCGTGACGTCATACCTAGCTTTTGTCAAATGAATTATATTTAATGTTGGTATCAAGATATTTAATCATTAAAAAGATTAAATTGATAATGGAGGAAAATTCGGGCTCTGATTTAAGATGTTACATTTAATGATGCAGGCTACATAATTTATTTAAACCTAGGAATCTACCCCTTTGAGATTATGATGTGTAATTTTATTGTGTTATGTACTGCTTTTATATTAATTGTATGTAGTAGCTTATAACTCGTAGTAGCTTAGGTTACGTTACGTTCTTCTTACGTTTGAATATTTGTAACAATGTTTGTTATAAGTCACAATATTGTAAGTTACGTTGCTTGATGTTATAAAAAGATTGTGATGATATTCTACTTACCTCATGATATTTTAATACAGAAGATATTTTGAAATTATTTAACTAAAATAAAAACAATTAGTGAGAGCGATAGAATGAGTTTCCTTATTTCATCAAATTTATACAAATTATTTTTATTATTAGTAAAGAGTTAAGAGTTAAGGATTTTTAGGAACTAGGAGTCATTCTTTTAAAAAATATTATTATCTTTTGAAATGAAATCTTTTAAAAGCGCATCTTTTTTTTCGTCCTCTTTTTCAAAATAATTAATTTATTTCATAACGCAATTTTCAGACTTCAAGTGTAACAAAACAGTGGACTTAGATCACAGGGATTGTTTCTCCGAACTCTCCCATTGTTTGTAGAAGTACCTGTGTAAATCTGGATTTGAAGATTTCCATATCCGCGCCTCGAGCGGAATGGGGCGGCAATCATTAAGGAGATTATAAACTAAAGAATTGCAAATAATAGGAATTAGCTTATATTGTTACAAGATACGGTTACGACTGTGTGTTCTTAAATTACCCGTCAGCCATTTTGGGTTTATTACTTATTTGTTGTCTGCCCCTTTATCACTTATTTGTTGTCAATTCTAAACAAATGTTCATGATAAATCTACGAGTAATTATGTTTGGTTTTCAAAACTTTGGACGTTCTTTGTTATACAAGTGTCGTCGTAAATATTTACAGCTGTTATGATGTTGATGGTTGAGTTTGAACGAAATTGACATTTATAACTAAAGTGTTATTTTAACCGTATTTTTAACTGTAGTGTTTGTGTTGTTTGCCACGTTTTATTTATTTTGTATTTTGGTGGAGTTTGAATTTACTTTCTACGTGATGATTGGTGTAATGTCGGACAGCACCCTTTCGTTATCACCACGGTTATCAATTGACGCCCATGATCAGCTAATGGTTGCGAACAATTTGCGTCACCCGGCCTGCCCTCAGGAAATAGCCAATTTGCAAAATTGGCCTCAGTTCCGTTCTATAAGAAGCTTGTTATTTGTTGTTGGTACAAGTAGGTATAAGTCGATAAGTAATGTTTTGGTTGGATAGGTAGGCTAAAACCTTCTTTCTTAGGAGAGGCCTATGTCCAGCAGTGGACTATTAAAGGTTGTTGATGATTGATGATGATGACTCGATACTTTCAATGTTTAAATTTGTTTTAATCAATAAAACTCGTTTTAGTTTATCATATCTTTTTAAAAGATCACTCTTCCAATAAGAGGTGTTATTTTAGTATTCAAAGAAAAATGCAATTTTTTAAGATAAATAATCGGCTGTTTATTTTATAATAAAGAGGAAGGTATGCCGTTAATAATGGAAGATAACATCAGCCAAATGGCTACCACGACCACGCTTACAGGACCATATCCTTTTAATGAAATTTTGCATAACCAAATCGCAAAGTGGCTGCCCTATGTCCTCGATAGCCTCACGAATTCCATCTTTGAGGTCTTGAATCGACACTGGGCTGTTGGCGTAGACCTTATCTTTCACGTGGCCCCAAAGGAAGAAGTCGCAAGGTGTTAAATCACAAGATCTCGGTGGCCAATTGTGATCACCTCTTCGAGAGATAACACGGTCAGGAAACTTTTCCCGTAAAAGAGCAATGGTTTCGTTGCTTGTGTGGCACGGAGCGCCGTCTTGTTGAAAGTAAACGTTGTCCAGATCAATACCATCCAACACCGGCCATAAAAAATCATTAATCATATCTCGATAGCGCAATCCATTCACCGTAAGTGTTGATCCAACCTCATTTTCGAAAAAGTAAGGTCCAATGACCCCGCCGGACCATAAACCGCACCAAACAGTCACACGTTGAGGATGGAGAGGCTTCTCAACAATAACTCTTGGGTTTTCCGAGCCCCAGATGCGACAATTTTTCTTGTTGACGTAGCCTCCTAGGTGGAAATGGGCCTCATCAGTCAAGATGATTTTTCGATGGAATTCCGGATCATTTTCATGCATTTCAAGTACCCAATCAGGAAAGACACGACGTTGTTGATGATCGGCCGGCTTGAGTTCTTGTGTTAACTGAACTTTATAAGCCTTAAGACCCAAGTCTTTATGCAAAATACGGTGTAATGACGTTTGTGGAATGCCCAATTCCAAAGAACGACGAGGAATGGACAAACCTGCGTTTTCTTCAACACTTTGGGCTACAGCAGCAATATTCTCAGTTGTTCTTGAGCGACGTGCACGGGTTTTATTCTTCACATCACTAACTTGTCTCAACAGCTCGAATTTTTCCACCAATTTCTGTATTGCGGTCCGACAAGGTGCTTCACGACGACCAAAAAATGCTTTAGTTTTGCGAACTGTGACTGCAAGATTTTCACCATTTTTGTAGTGAATTTTAATAATTTCAATGCGTTGTTGAAGTGTGTATCGTTCCATTTTTAGTAATTGCGTAGTTTCTACTTGTCAAATGTCAAAAAATAAAAGCTTCAAAAGTGACAGCTACCGAAATACCGGGTGATTCAAAATAACACCTCTTGTTGGAAAACCCTTTATGAAGCAGATACAAAGAACAAGAATTTGTAGATCTCACAAAGTGTTGTCGTATGTGGGGATTGAACCCACAACACTCAGCGCAGTAGGAAGCGGCGAGGTGACCGTTTAAACCTCTACGCCATATGTGTAGTCCATATTTTTACTAAATATTGCACCTGATTTATGCACACTTTATAGTATAAATGTGAATGTGAGTTGGTTTGTTTGTTACTTGCTTAACGCCTAACCCACTAAACCGATTTCAAAAATTCATTCACCAATAGAAAGATACATTATAAACGATTAACATAGGCTACTTTTCACCGCGATGACCGACATAAACACTGGCAGCTAAAGATAGTTTTTCTCTAAAATGCTAACTAGTGTGATAATATTGAAATTTAGGAAGTGAGTTTGTTTGGCTTTCAGGCCTTAGCTACGCAATATTTTAACCCGAAATGTTCTCGTACTTTAAGTAGTAGTTTAAAGTACGCAAATTACTTACGTACTTTAAGGCAAAAGCTAATAATATTTTAAATGCGAATGTAAGTGTAGGTATTTGTTAAGTTCTTAACCGATTATTATCAATATGTTTTGCATAAACTCATACGGAGTATAAAAAAGTCGCTGGCAAAAACTCTATACTATTATCTTTGACATGTAAAAATATAAACATTGCACTCTGTAATTGCATTGCACTCAGTAAGGGAAAGGCCCTTACTATTATGATGTAATTTCTACAATATTTTTGCCATTTTACTTATAGATAGCACGTTAATTTGAACTTCAAATCAACTAGTTGTTCCACTTTACTTAGCTCTTGATTTACGGACCGCTAACAACTGTCACTTCTGCTTTGGACTATTTAGCGATTTAACTTTGCGGGGGATGCTTATCTTTGACAAGTTTCGGGGACTGTTCCGTCCTAGATACCGTCTGAAGGTACTCGACGTCACACAATTTGATATCATCTGCTTTCTATTATTTAAATAAATAGAGGCAATTAGTAGTATTTACTCTTGATCAGAGTAGTTTTTCTTGTTTTATTTAAAACTGCATAGAAAATTCTTACAAAGGCGCATTCAATGCCTAGGGCATTCCCAACCTCTTTTGTAAGCTTGGGGTGATGTAGAAATGTAATACTACCGTATTAAATAAAAATTCTTAGATATTATTTATAATAAATTTGACAATCAAAATACATAATATAATATACACTTATTAGACTACATTTACATAGTAAACATACATATAAGCTAATATATATCCGAATACCTAAATAAAGAGTATGTTTTAGATATCGTTGTACCAGCTAACATGTTTAGGTATTTGCTACAAGTGAACCTAACGGAGTTTGACTTCTACCTTAGTTCCATATATTTCGTTAGTTACAGTTGTCACGGCGACGATTATCTGATGATGAAGACTTTGGGTTAGATTAACAACTGTCATTTTCATATTCTAATAGCTGTACCCTTTTGCTGTACACGTTTTACTGTGGCACCTTGCGGTAACACTGATGACACATGAAAAATAGATAGAAACAATTTTTACATATTTATAAATGATATTTTTACCTGATCATCAAAATGACCTTTAAAGCAGCAATTACAATACAAATAATATCAATATAATAATAAATTTCTTCTGTTATTGTAGTTTTAAACGTCAGACGATAGGAAAGGAAACTTTATTAAAAAAAAAGCTGCCAGCACTAGTTAGATTAAAGTTGTTGAGTTAATCTGAATGTGCTTATTTGCCGACAGTGTTGTGAGCTGTGGAGTATCCAAGTTGTGTGCAAACATGGATTTAGCAGGGAGCGCAGCTTGAGTCAACACCAATCAAAGCGACATATGCTGCTGTGATACATTTTCACACGAGTTTTCACTCGGAATGAAGTTTTTAGCAGTAAATCAGACAATCCTTTGTCTGATTCACTGCTGAAAACTTCATTCCAACTAAGAGTGAGTTTTTTTATAGTTGCACTTTCTTGCGATAAAAGAAGTCTGTATCTCTCCAGCTATAGTAATCAAATACATGATTTTTTTGTCAATTAAAGTAGGCATCTACTTTTTACGACGTTTTATGGTTTCTAATTTAATTATGTGATAGACTTATTAGATAAGTAGGTTGTAGGAAAAAAACAAATTTATACCGGGTAAATTTTAACAACGAAATATAGAAATACAGAACTTAAAATTATAATCATTTCATAATTTGAGTACAAATTATAACTCATTACAAAATGTAATGTGCTCGGCTTAATTCATTATGAAACCAATTCTAATTAAATAACACTGATGGTTTAAAGACACACACCTACGTGAGATGTTCCAAAAAATGTTCGTGAAAAGAAATATAGTTGAAATCTGAAAAAAGTTTATTTATAGCTTTTTAAAATATTCCCTTCCAAATACAATGTACTTGTGTATTCGGGTGAACCAGCTTTCGAAACATTGATAAAATGTACTCGTATCTTGTCGGAGGCCGAAATTCTTCGACGGCCTCTTGGGAATTACTGCTACTGGCCTGCGTTGAAAAACAAAACTGCTATCATTTTTTTATTTACATAGTAGATCCAAGTTTCGTCAGTTGTAAGAATGTAGGATACATTTTGTGAAGTTCTTTCTTTGAAACCAATAAGTAACATTGTTGTTAACGTAGCAGCAGACTCTTAAAATGTGGCTGTATATTCAGTTTGAAAAAATATTTAAAGAAAGAACTACATACGTATAGGTGAGATTAAGATATATTGCAATTAGCCGTCCAGTTTCAAGAAAAAAGAGATTGTATTTATTCTGAAGCTAGCAATTTTCGGAACAACCTAGGTATATTGTGTTTAGTACTGAACGCGAACGAAATGTCCATTCTAGAGGAACGGAAAAAGGATCGATTCCTTTTACCGTTCCTCTCAAAATGTTTATCATGTTCTCCTTACGCATTGGCCACCTTAATTGCCATTTTGTAACTTGTTAAAGAAGATTTAATTCGTATTTTATTTCTGAGTTTCATTTGTTTTTCTCTTCGCCATTTATTTTCTTATAATACTCAATAATCATTTAATTATCACGTAGATAAATTAATAATTGTGTATTATAAAAAAATAAACGGATTTTTGTTGTTTTTGACCATTTCTAGTTTTTTTTTCTCAAAAATGTATTGTCGTGATATTACTAATAGACCATTTTAAAGATTGAAGTGATAATGCCGGATCTCAGCGTAGACCTCATCTTAGCATTTTCATCTCCACAACATGAATGGCATGTACATGGCGCTGCGTGGGTGCCCAAGTCTCACTGCCATACATTGAACATTACACAAAACTGCCATTATTATTGCTTTATAAAATATCCCTTTCAGCTTAATACCCATTTTCTTATCACATGTTACACCCATTATCTCCCGCAATTTGAGCCATGCAGCTGCTATACTTTGATGGATATTGTGCTCTAGGTCTCCTGAACTGTGTAAGATGTTACCCAGGTATTTATACTCTTCACATTTGGTAATTACTTGACCATTTATGCTGATAGGTTGATCATCAGAACGAGGATTATTTAGAGTCATAAACTGGGTTTTAGCGACACTGAATTCCAAATCTTCCATAGCTACTAGCAATTGTCAAGCGCTCACAGTCTGGAAGCAGCAACTGCTAGACTATGAACGCTTCTTGCAAAAGGTCTCGGCTCTTCTTGCATATAGCGACATCATCATTATGACACAGAAGAGGCGCAAAGCAAAGCAACATGGATGTTTGCCCTTATGTGATAATACCAAGCAAAACAGAAAAGGGCTCAGGACTGATCCTTGATTGACACCCTCAGTGACTCGGATTGATTGGGTATTCAAGAGGTCGACACCGAAGTTTTGAAATGGGTAGCTAGCACACCAGATCTAACCCCAATAGAGCAAGTCTGGAATAATCTGGAAAGGCAAATTAAACAAAGAATGTCAGAAGTAACCAACTTAAGACAACTAAAAAGGGCGCCAGTAGAAGATTGGACCAAATGCCACAAAGTTTTATTGACGATTTAATAAAAAGTATGTCCAGACAGATGGTGTCAGTTTTGACTGTTGGAAGAGGTAACACTAGGTACTGAATGTACCTCACCACTGCGATGGCCAGACCGTGGACACGGCTCTCCACACGCTGGCAGAGTGCCCGGCGTGGGTTGAGCAGAGGCGAGACCTCGTGGCGGCCATCGGAGTGGGAGTTCTCTCGCTCGATAGCCTGATTGCGGCTATCGTGCGGAGCGAGAGTGCGTGGAACTCTGCCGTCTCCTTCTGCGAGCAAGTTATGCTCGCGAAGGAGACGGCGGAGCGGGACCGGGAGAGGTTTAGAACTCTCCCGGCCCGCCAGGCCCGGGCACGGGCCAGGCAGCGCAGGTCACTCAGGCGCCGGAGGTCGCAGAACGACCTCCGTCCTCCATAAGCGCAGGCCTGGGGGTGACAGGTGAGGCCATCTGTCACCCTAGCAGAAGCAGGCCGGGGTGGCGGCGAGCGCGTTGCGAAGCGCGCTCGCTTTCAGGGAGCACAGGGAACATGGGGTTCCCACACGGGGCGGGGGTCGTCTACTCGTCTGTAGATGACCCGAGGTATGTCGGGGCACCAGGGCCTTCCTTTCTAGGGTATACCTGGTTCCCCGGCTATTAGTACCCGGCGAAGGCGTGCGGTTTTAGTCGGTTCGAGTCCGACATGCCACCGACAGGTGGTATCCGAGGGGATTTCCGCACGGAAAAAAAAAAAAAAAAAAAAAAAAAAAAGGTACTGAATGTACCTACTTGTGTTTATGTTACATAATTACAGAAGAAATGAGCCATTTCACAAGGTTTTGGTACAAGATGATAAGTTGAGAGTTTTCCGTTCCTTCACATTACGTCAAAAAGAGATAACTGTCAGAAAATTGCATAAAAATAAAAGCATAATATATAAAAGCATAAACAAAACTTTTTTGCACTCTAAGCTTTTTTTTGAGTTCCTATAAATCAATTGCTTATCAGTAATAGGTACTCTGCAAGAATATATTTAAAAATGTTGCATTATTAACGTAAGCAAAATATTAGAAACCGGTTTCTAATAATTTATTTATTTTCTTTATAATAATTTATTTTCTTCTTATTTTCCTGAATCACTACTAAGCTGTTAATAAATAGAAGGAAATACATCATACATAGAAGTATTAAAAGTTTCATTAGTTTGTTAAGAACTTTAAAAATAGTTCTTATGCCTTTATTCTAAATACCAGTGCACAATTTTAGTCTTTAGCACGATCTTATTTACCAAAACTGATCTAACAGATAAATCAAGTTCATGTTCATCAACTGCTCCTGACACGAGAGATAACCCTTTAACCATTGATAACGGATCTCCATATCTTTACTGAATTCCACACTCCCCATCCTATAAGCCCTTACACACCAGCGACGTTCAAACAAAGGATCAAATTAAACAAAATCCGCATACAATCGTGTTCTGAACACCGACATGAAAGAGAGTTAATCAAATAACTATTTTGAAGTTTGAACAAATAGTACGCCCCCGCGATTCTCGCAACTGTCACGGCAACAAATGCTTATGATTGACCTCTGAAGCGATTGTGTATGGAGCATAACTAATGCGAGCAAAAGTTTACGCAATACGTTTGACTTTCTAAACCCAACAGCTTCGCCCGGTGTGAAGTTATTGTGTATGATGCATTTACAATATTTAATATTAATCGATATTGGATATGATAATGCGCTTCATATGTATTTTTCTGTACCTACCAGTATCAGAAAGGCTTCAGTATTTTATTTAGTTAGGCTTTTTAGTAGTTTTACACTTAATTTTAGTCAGATTTTATCAACATAAACGGAGAATCGTACCATTTATACGGTCCTCCGTTTATGTTGATGTAAACTTAAATTAAAAAAGACTTTAAATGGTAACAATAGGCATTAATAACGTAATAATATACATTTATATAGAGCCTAGTCAACTTAACTTTAAGAGGGCCATTGATTATTTTGTACTTTTGAAGATTAGTTCTCGTAATAAAAATTTGCTCAAAAATTAGTTTAAATCTGCTGCTACTACGAGAATACATTTTAGGACATTGATGAAATCGAGAGTACATCAAAACTGAATTTTTAACAAATTTTTACTACGAGAATCGACTGTATAAAGTAATTAGCTTGTGGCGGACTATATTTTAAAGCGCCTCATACTATGGCTACTATTGAAAAAAAGGTACTGCTTGGAAACCACGCACCGTGCATCACGCACGCTCTCGAAGAAATAATAAATATACATATAAGAAAGAATAAATAAAATATACAAAACTATATCACTGCAAAACTGTACCATAAGTAGCGATTTTTTTAAATATATTTATATCCCCCTTGCCGATTTCTTTATGTGTAATGACACAAACTTTATGTGTAAATGTTCGCGACGGGCAACATGTTAGAACTAAATTGATTTAGTTGTAGAATATAGCAAGGGCATTGCGCTTCCTATTTACTCGTAACTCGGCTTTGCGCTGTTAATATATTTTCGAACTTGAACAAGCAAGTCGAGATGTTGCAATCCAGATCTTAAATTCCGGTAAAGCATTATTGTAATATTTCTAGTATTCAGCAGCTTTATAGTACCTTTGTAGATAGTCGTGCCCTGAAAATACCTGTATCAACTTGTAAAAGATACAACCATATGGGAGTTGCAGTTACATTTGCATGTCATCTCCTCGGATCTGGTTTTGTTGATGCAATTGTGACGCCCTCATACATTATAAGTCTGTGATGTTTGATCTTTACTATTAAAATTGGCATCTTAACACTGCATAGTTTGCTAAATTTCACACACATCAATAGTTTGTGCCTAGTACGAATTTTATGAAGCAATTAAAGATAAGTTAGAATCACAAAATAAATTTTAAATTAAATTGTAATAATGATAAAGAGACAAGGTGAAAAGTTTTGTTGTGAAAGGATATTGTCGGTATATGGCACTAATTTATGGTTGTCGGTTATCTGGTGGAACATGATGCGGGTGCCGTGTGACAGTCCTGCGGCGCCGCCCGTGCCAAAGCCCCACCTCGTACCTGATAGTAAAGGTGCTTTTTAACATGCAGCACGCGACTACTGACTACTCTGTACTGCATGTTGCTGTTCAATGTTTGTATCATATTGGTGTGCATAATTATATCTTCTGCTTTACATTAGTAAATTTCTTTTAATAATGTAAAGCAGACGACGAACGTACAAAAACCTTTTTAGTCGCATGAGGTCAGTTGATGACCTAATGCGACTAAAAAGGTTTTCGTACTTTTGCCGTCTTCTATTTTATTTTGTTGATTCTTCAATTTATTACTTTCCTTGTTAATCTGAATATTGTTTAGATAAACTAAGAAATATGATACTATTTTTTTTTAAGTTATTTTTTGCTCTAAATATTGACTGCCTTGATAACGGAGCTAGACTGCATGCATTTGCAACTTTGTGGTATAAACATAAATTCTACTAATTTTATTACCACGTGAAATAAAATATACCCAATTCTTCTAATGTACAAGAATACTTACATTAAAATTGCAATTATTAAATAAGATGTAAGCAAGTTAGCAAAATATTGCGCTCCCCAAAGATTTTTGTAACCAACATTTTTTATTGGTATATTCCATTGGCACCCTGGCCAATTTGTAAGTTAATTTGAATTTTTGAAATCTTCTTATTTTGCATAAACATGGGCTCGTCGTGACATTTCCGAATAATTATGCGAAGAGAACTATACATCCGATTGATATATTGTGATATTATACCAATTACTTTAGGGTAATATTGTCGCTATTGTGCCATTACACCGTTAAATTTATATGTGGATATTATTATTGTGGGCCTTGCTGTTCTTGTTTAAGTGATAGATTCTTATACTTGTTAGAAAAATACTTATCAATGTTAATAAAAATGAAACGCATCGTTGCCAAACTCATCATTCACAACGGGTTGAGGGATTGTCCGAGTTTTTACCGTTTTAAGCTGATCATAAAAACCTGGCACAGTTTTAAATTAAAGACATGAGTGTTCTTCGTAATCTGTTTCAACAAAAACTTTCTGTTTTAACAAAAAATATAATTAAATGGATGCCGGGTTTCTGTTTTAACAATCAATTTATTAACAATAGATGGGATAGATGGGTTAGACAGGTACTCGTTGTTGCACGCTATAGTTAGGAAATATACAATGCATAATACAAATAAAAAAAAAACAGTGATACAATGCCGGCAGCCCTATAGCTGTCGGCTTAGTGGTGGATTCGCACAAATTTGTACAAACACTTTGTGCGAAACAACCCTTTTTAAAATTTTATATTTTTTAGTGATCGATTCGCACAAACTGAATTTATTGTGCGAATGTGCGACACTCTAGGAAAACGTAGTGGCGATTCGCACATATTTTCTCAAATGTAATTTATTTATGAAAATGGTACAGCAGCGCATAAAAGTTGTACATATAATTAAAACAAAGAAAACAAATAATCTACAAAATATATATTTCACATCATCACATCACATCATCAGCCTTTAATAGTCCACTGCTGGACATAGGCCTCTCCTTAGAAAGGAGGTT